GTGAAAGTGTTGTCTTAAAATCATAAGTTTCTGCTATGTTATATATAAAAGGAAGTTCAACAGTTATTAAACATCAGCAGGTTAAGAAGTAAAAGAAGTAATGTACAAAAACCATTTATCATTTTAAGAAGTAATATAAAAGGAAGGTCAACAGCATTACGGATGTTTACATCTGCAAGTCCTCGTCTATATAAATACCACCAATTATTTTACTTTTTTGCCTTTTGTCTGTGGAATCATCAAAGAAACGATGGCATCATCAAAAATTTCACTTCGCGATTGTATTCAAGCACTCTCGTTTATGGAAGAGGATACTTATTTTTTTTTGGGTTTTATTATTTTAAATAATGCTGTTTATCATAGACATGATGAACTGGCTTATGTTATAAAATGGTTATCAATGGCAAATGTATGCAGGTCATTATATTTTCAAAACTTAATAGAATTCATTATCTCATTTCACAAATACGCTTGAAGAGTGTGAAGTATAAAATCTAATACAATGTAGTGAATAGTGATTGTTCCATTGAAGTCGTAGAGGTGCTGAATGAAGTTCATGGATTCATAATTTCTCATTAACAAGCTTTTTTAAATTATTGATTTCAACAATAGAGAAATGTGCAAATAGCTCATATTATTAGAAACTCTAGTACAAAAGTTATTGAATTAGTTGTATGTGTATAAAATAGATAATGAACGTACATGGGCTGAACAGAAAGAGTGTATAATTACAAAACTATTACCTCCACTTTACAAACTAGTGAACAAAACGTATAGTGTTTTGAACAGTGACTTATTATAAAATCTTATTCAAAACTTTACAGATAGAAAGTAAACAATAAATATCAGGAAATAAAATCCTCATCAACTCAGAAAATTGGTATTCCTTGACAATTGGTAATGACTTCCACTAAAATTACAAAAAAAACTGATTGAAACTTTAATCTATCCATCAATGGAAGAAATGTGTAATGTTACTAATATACACATGTCAGAGGGCATGGAGAATTCTTGAAAAGTTCTTAAAAAAAAAAGTCAATGGCTATGTACTATGAAAGAAATATACTTCTAAAATAATTGATATTAATTCCAATAATATTATTATTACTCCTGCAGACTTCTATAAACTTATGAAACAAATATTTAGTTCATATATTTGACCACTTATTCATTAATATTTATTTTTATAAAATGATGGAGAAAAGTTTTAACCAAATCCAAAAAAACATGATTAATATTTCTTTTAAAAGTACAATGAAGAGCTGTGATATCCAGATATAAATAAATTAATTGTTAAGCAAATCTCTATATCTCTTCAAAATATTATGGTAAGTTGTATTGGTTGTATTCTATATTTTCTGTATTTGTCTTGTTATATATTATAATTTAATATTTCTTAATAATACAAAGTCTAGCTATCATAGGTGAACAATCTCAAAAACTCTTGATAATGCATTCAAACATAAAATTCATATTCTGAATGATGCAAAGTATAATAATGCAGTTGCACATTTTGCTTTGAAAAAGGACATTGGTTAAAGGACTGCAAAAAAATACTGGACAAGTATAAAATTATTGCTTTTAAGTGTTGGCAAGCTGATTCCCATAAAATTACATGCCTATTGTTAATCGAATGATCATGTGACCGACGATCATGTTACGAATGTTGCAAATGTTACGAATGTTCGATATGTTTAATGACATATGCAACATATTGAACATATAGCACATATTTAATATATTTAATATATAACACTTATTAAACATGTAGCATTTATACAATATATTAAACATGATTAGCATAGATTTTATTGTTATAAATAGATGTGTTCCAAGTCAATGTAAAAACAGATAATTTGTTTTGAATTTAATAAAGCATTTATTAAAAGAAGTTATCTCATTGTTTATTTTAGAGTTTAGTTCCATTGTGAATCAATAATTGCGTCTGAGTGTATATGCTAGTGTGTGCATTACCGTATTCGCATTTGATTGAATTTACATTTGTTTCATTGTGTTACCTTCGTAAATTGATTGACAGTGATACACTTACTAGTGTTTTTATATAACTTATTTCACTACGCGTTTGTTAACATTTATTAACATTTATTTTATTTATTATTCCTTCTGCTTACCATATACATATACGCTTATTTTTATAAGCATTCAAGAACTGGCATAACACTATCATCAATTAGTAAACAATCATCTTGGTTGACAAATTTTTTTATGATACTCAAAAGAATGCTTTGGCTTATTGATAAATTATAAGTCACAGGAGTAACTTCTGCATTTCATGCCGGCAGGATTTAGTCTACTTCTTATATTGGATGATATTTTAAAGACCACAATTCTTTCTCTTCTTCCTGAATTTAATAGCAAATGCTGAATTATAAGTACTTTACTAGTTTATATTATCAAACACCCAACAAGATACTGCAGATGGACTAACCAATCTACTGAAGAAGTATATTCAATTATAAAATGTTTTACTATAATAATGATATTAAGATAGCAAATGGTGTAATAGATCAAGTAACTGAAGACATCCATATTTTGGGTATAGCTTTGTCGTCAAATTTGCGAATGGGGAAAGGCCAATAAGAATAAACGTCATGTAGATATTGCAAACCACTTTAATGAAGTGTATCCCAATTTAACAATTGACAGGAGCACTATATCGAAAATTTTGTTACAAAGTGACAAGTGGACAGCTATCATAAATACAGAAGATTCTAGTAAGACGTTTAGACATAAGGCGGTCAAATTTCCGATACTCGATCAAGCCATGAATTTATGGGTGGAGAATGTTACAGCTGGAGGTGTTATTTTAACTGATTTGTTAATTAAAGAAAAAGCAAAGATATTTGCTCAAGCATTTAATATACAGGAAAATGAGTTGGTATTTTCTAATGGTTGGCTATATAAATTCAAACAACGCAATAATATCCGTAGGTATCATATACATGGAGAGTCAGAAAGCGCACCATTAGCTTCTCTCCCAGAAGAACGAACAAAACTACAGCAACTTCTAAGCCGATATATTCTTGACCAAATTTATAATATTGATGAAACAGTAAGTCTTACCATTTATTATTTATATTCCTTTATCTTTTCCTTATCTCCTTTTTTATTTTGTATCTTATATGGCCTTTTTTATCTAATGTCACCAAGTCAAACACTTTCAACCAAACCAGTTCCAGGTAGAAAGAAAGATAAGACACGAATTACAGTTCTACTTGGTGCTAATGCAACAGGAACTGATAAACTCAAACCATGGGTAATTGGAAATGCAAAACGTCCAAGACCTCTTTCAAAGGTTAATTTAGAACGTCTTCCAGTCTTTTATCGTGGTGTTCCGGATTTTCCTTATGAAGTATTTCGAATTACTGGAAACTAAGATAACTAAGATAATGATATATATATTCTTGTTATAAATTTTAATTTAAATTTAAAAAAATCGTTTAGGTAAAATGTAACTTGAGATACAGTATATGATTAGATATAATATTAATAATAGAATCAGATAATTATATAAAAAATTTTAATTTTTATATCGGAGGATGAACACTTTTTTTATATAATTATTTAATTTACTAGCTGTACTTGCAAAATCAGATAATACCTTATAATTTTGCATTCAATTACGCACATTAACAGTATAAAATATGTTGTTATTTTTTCTTTAAATATTAGGATAGCGGAAAACGAAACGTGTTCTACACTATAACGAATCAGTAGTGCTACTATTTAAATGGTGATTTGTAAGTTAACTAGTATTTAACTAATATTTCATCGAACTAGTAAAAATTTAATTGCAGAATTACCTGTAAGAAATTTTATTTGTTATCTTTGATATTCAATGGCAAATTTTGACTTAAAATAAAGAGAACAGTGATAACGGTTTAGTTCTTATTAAATTACCGAATGCATAACTTGAAATCTTTGGTTAATGTCACTTCGTGACGACGTGACGTTAACCAATATAAATACCAATGCTCAAATAAGCTATCGACTATTGATATCAATATTGTACGATAGTGAAAATAAACCGTGCGATAATACTGAAGTAATTTCGAGCAAAATTGTTTATCATAATCTGGGAAGTACACCATCTAATAATGTATAAATTTAACGTGAATTTTTTTTTTAATCATAAATTATGCACAAATTTATTATGTAATTAAAATACATAATTAAGATATACATTTAATACATTATTAAAAAAATACAATTTTCAAATTTATTGATACATTATAAATTATAAATGATGACGAAAAATATTTAGGTTTTGTTCTAATTCATTTATTCTATTTTCTTTACTCTGTAACTTTTGGATTAATTTCATTTTGATTTGTTCTTCATTAATTAATTTTTGTTCCAATTGAGCAATTTCTTTTTCCAATTGAGTAATTTTTTCCAATTTGGCTTTCAATTTAGTAAAAAAGTTGTGATTTTGCGAAAAACCTACAATCATATTACTCATATTAATTTTATCTTGTGTTAACTGCCCATAATTAATTTGGAATTGACTTAATTCATTTTCTAATCGCTCTTTTTGTTTAATTAAACTTACTTGCTGAGATTTTAATTTTTGAATATAAGCTTCTGTTTGGGCTAATTTATCTTGTAAATTCTTTCTTTTTTGTTTTAACTGATTGATTAGAATTTTAACTTGCTGATTAATCAGTTCATTTTGTTTCAACACTTTATTTAGATTGTAAGCTAAAGCACGCTTTTCATTTTGTGAACGAGTAATTTGAGCCTGTAAAGTATTTTCTTCTACTTCTGCAAATTCTCTATTTTGTACAGCTGAGGTAAGCTTTAGATTTTGATAATCTTGTTCAATTTGAGAATTTCTTTGTTGTAAGTTAACTAATTCACTTTCTTTTAACTGTTTTCTAATTTCCATCTGAGATCTTTCAGAATAAGTTTTGGTAATCATTATTAACTTAAGATTTTCATTTTTTATTTGTTTACAAATAATTTGGGATTGACTTAATTCATTTTCTAATAGGCTTTTTTTGTTTAATTATATTTTCCTGCTGAGATTTTAATTCATAAATATAAGCTTCTGTTTGGGCTAATTGGTCTTTCAAATTATTTTTTTCTTGATTTAATTGACTAATTTTAATTTGAGCTTGCCGATTAATCAGTTCATTTTGTTTTAACTGATCAGCTAAATTGCTAGCTGAAGTTTGCTCTTCATTAGTAATTTGAGGTTGTACAGTATTTACTTTTCCTGACAATTCTTTATTTTGTACAACTGACGAATTGTTATCATCTTATTGATTAAAAAATGTGCAAAAAAAATATTAATAAAAATCATTGTTACTAATTAACATAATTAATATATTAAACTTACCAGAAGGAATAGTCAATTCACTATGTCCACCAGTACGTATATTAGCAGTATCGCAAATATAAGGTTGTGATGGTTCGGAATATTCCACAGTATTTATTGATAATTGACTTAAAATTTCATGTACTTTTTCAATATCGGGTCTTGATTCCGGTTTACCATCCCAACATTTTTGATAAAGCTCTTGATATTTTGGAGGTGTACCTTCAATTGGATTTTCTCTATTACCATCTTTAATGTGATCTCTAAGTAAATTCCGTGGACAGTCAGAAAAAGGAGGTCCCTTACTTGAAATTTCCCATAATAAAACACCTAAACTATAAATATCGGATTTCTTATCTTTTTTATACCTAATATCCTTAAAACATTGTGGTTCAATATATGCAAGTACCTCAAGTTCATTATGTTTTGTATGAGTTGTAGCTTCCGCTAGCTTTTTAGATAATCCAAGGTCTGCAATTAATAATTTTTTATCATTCACTAATATATTTTTTGAGTGCTACAAAATGATTGAACAATATTTATTAAAAATTATCATCGAAATCATAAACAAAATACTATAAATAAATATTCCTTTACCAAGTCTCTATGAATTATTCCTTTGGAATGTAAAAATTTCAATCCACTAGTAATATCCAATGCCATTTGAATTTTATCTTCCCATTTCAAAGAAGTAAAATTTTTTTCCAAATATTTTCTTAAATTTCCTCCATTGGCATATTCCAACACCAAAATATAATTCTCAGAATCTATTAATTTAAATATAAATAAGTTAGATTGAACTGTTTAAGTAAAGTTATTTAAAAAAAATTTTTTTTAACATAAACCTTTTGTTATTCCTAGACAGCGATTGATTTTTGGATGATAATCAACCTCACGAAGGAGCTTTAACTAAATGGTAAACCGAAAATTAATTATTTATATGTATATTATCAAGCTAATATACTGTAAAACATAAAAAGAACAATTTCTACCTCCTTGATAAGCTCTTTATTAACCTCATCAAGTTCATCTGAATTTTTATTAATTATAATTTTTAGTGCGACCAATCCCGTATTATCCAAATTTGCTTTAATCACTTTACCGAAACTTCCACTACCAATTTCGCCAATTTTTTTAAATTCATCATATTCAAAATAGCGAATATACCCATTCCTTATCTTTTTCTTAATCCATCCTTTTACTGAAGTCATTTTATAATTAAGCTACAAGAGAGAAATATTTATTATTTCTTTGTTATTTTTTTTTTTTTCAACGTTTTAAATTTTATTTCACCGTACAAAGAATTCCATAATTATGCATATTGCCGATCCATTTCATTCTACAATATAATGTACTTCCAAATTTAAAATAACGGTTAAACCCCCAGTTTCATACCAATATTTTATCTCGCTTATATAAGAATATTCGTTTTACGAGAAATTTCATCCCCAAGCACAATTTATAATTAAGAAAATATGATTGATATATATAATAATAGAGATTTGAGTGGGCATTTATTTTTTATTATTGAAAAAGTACTAGAGAAAAAGCGTTTAAAAAAAATAAAATATTAATAAAATCATTTATATTATCATCATCATCATCATCATTATTATTATTATATACTGTACATATATAATTTTTTTCGTGTTTTATTTTCAAGAAAAGTTTTATTTGTTTCCTTTATTAGGAAAAAAAAATTTCTTTCAATTTCTTTTTTATTTATCTTTTTTATCAAAAGTGATAATGGTGCAACAAATAATGAGAAAAATACACAAAATTCAAACGTGATACTGCTAAAAAAGCGGGTAATTACAAATTAATTTAATGTTAATGATAAGAAAAATAAAAAAGAAAATCTCAAAAAACAGATTTATCAATTGAATTGAGGTCATTTATTTTTTTTATCAAAAAAAAAAAGTGACAGATAAAACATATCTCAATTTTTTATAAGCGCCCAAAATTGAATCTACAAAAAGAAAAAAGAAACCAACAGAACATTAGAACATTAGTAAGCATTTCTAAAGAATTACGTAAGTTATACTCAATTTTGAAACTTGCCAACTCAGTTGAAAAATAAAACCTGAAGGATCCCATAAAAAAAATTATTATTTTTATTTTTTTAAAAAAAAAATTGTAAGCTTCACTCATTTTAAATATTCAATGCCAAAATTGAAGTCATAGGGAGTCTACAAGAAGAAAGTGAATACCTTCCATCTTGAAAGTCCAAAAGAGAAGAAAAGGAACAGTTTGAGCAAATGAAAAAAAATGAAAATAAAATTCAACATACCCAATTTCCTTAAAATTTAAAATAATGTATTGGCATTAAATAAAACAATTAAAAAAAAACCTTGAAGAATCCAGCTAAAACCTGTAAAAAAGTTGGTTAGGGTAGAATTTTGAAAAAAATATTTTTCGTTCGTTTATAGAAAAGAAGGAAAAAAAAATTTATTATTTATCAATTTATCAACCAAGGATGATAATGATGCGACAAATATTTGCATCTATACTTTTTTTTAAAAAGGAGTAAAAATCACAAAGTATCAAATGTGCCTGCTGTAAACAAATGGGAAAAAAAGTGGTTGAATAAGCAAAAATAAAATAAAAAAAAAATCAAGTTTATTATCATTTTTTTCTTTTATCGTTTCGCAGGAATAATTATTGTATTTATGATTTATTCTTTATTAAGAAATGATTTTTGGATTAATCATTTTTTCCTTTTTTTTTTAATTAAAAAAATGATGAATATATAAATTTTTTTTTTTTTTATTGTTAATATCTATAATTAATAATAACCTACAAAATGATTTTATGACCATAATAAGGTTCTTATCATTAATATCAATGTGAAATATTTATATGCATCTTTGGACGATAAATTTTTAAGTTGTCATTTATTCATCGGCTTCATCGCGTGCTTCTTTTTGTCACCCGTGTCAATCAGTCACACTCCTCTATGTATATTCTTTTTCTATTTTTCACTCCCCACTTTAAATGTCACATGTATTAATTTTGACCAGAGTGCATCGCTATTGGCGATGAGTACATTTTTTTAATTATTGCACATTTCAATTATGTAATAAAACATTATTACTACAACATTACATTAAAAGATGAATATTATCTGGTGTAATAAATTTGGCGTTTAAAAAAAGTTTCGTAAAGAATACAAAAAAAACAGTACCATACAATAAGACATTGAGACATTTAGTTGTTCCTTTTATAATATCTTTAGTTTTAGGTTTACGCCCCAGCCAAAGATTCTGAGCAAGGTCGTCGTCGTCGACTCGTCGTCCCTGCCAACGTTGTAAAAGTAAAAGTGGTGTTTTTATATGGTAGTTATTTTAGTTATTTAAGTCTCCATTTCATATCATTCATCTTTAATTCCATATTAGTTATCTTTATACCTATTTCATCATTTTTGATTCGACACCGCTCATTTTTTGACTTCATATTTAACATTCTCCAGTTATTGATTTAAATTTTTTGAAATCACTTTTGAATTCGTTAAGATTCGTTGAAATAATATAACTTTTCATTTTTTGCTTCCATATGATTGATCAAATAGGTTAACGACACGTTTTACATAATAAAGAATCACAATGTATTATATATATTATATATTATGTGGAATAAGCTCGGTCAAGAGACGAGATATACTATATCGAATAAAAATTCTTGAAACTATTATGTTATTCATGTACTGATTATAAATTGAAAAAATTGAGAAAAGAATCTGGAAAAAAAAACGTTATGTGCGTTATGTGTATATTTTTATACTGTTTGTGTGTGAGTCATTGTAACTTTCAATGGCGTACATTCAAATCATTTATAACTGTTCATTGTTGAAAGATATTCAAAACAATTACTTTCTCACGATACAATATTATTAAAGTTTACCGCCAAAATAATATCTGGAACAATTAACAATGATCTCCCCCATGGTTAAAAGAATGGAAACACGCATGAAATAAAATACACGTGAAAATACAATTATTAACCCAGGAAACATAATATATGATAATTTTTTTATTAATGCTGTCTAATCTAGCTCTGAGTTATTACTAAAATAATAATTTATTTTTGATTATATATAAAAAATGCGTGTTAAAACAAGTAAACATTTTCATTATTTTTAAAGTTTGTCGAGTAAATGAAAACCGCGAACAAGTAACCCACCCACGTGTAAAATGTTCACCTTTAAAATGTACATACTTTTTTAAAATTGAGAAAAATACCTAATTTTGTGATACAAATAAGGGACAAATAAATTACAATGCAAAGGTATTTACAGAAATATTTTAATTTTCATTTTTTCCTCCAGTTCCAAAACTCTGCCAAAGGTATTCCGTAAGTAAATAATAAAGCTACAAAAACCATTAAATTACAAATATTAATATATAATAATCAAAATAATAAAAATAGTAAAAGGATGAAAAATTCGTACTTCTCTATTAGCATTGTGTAAATCAATATTATGATTACTATCGGTATAGAATTGTACACGATAATTATGGACCGAAGCAAGTGTTAACCTATCAATTAAATTAGCGGTATTTTGGAAGTGAACTATAAAAACATATACATATATATATTAATATTTTAAGTGTAAAGACCAAAAAAATTTTTATGATAAGAAAATATTCATTATACTTAACCATTGTCTATTTTAAAAATTTTAAATTGATAAAAACGAAAAAGATTATTATATTAATAAAACGAATGACTTGTTGATCAAAAATTCAATCACATTGTATAAAAAAAAATTCATTCTTTACCATCACCAGTTCCATGCACGAGCAAAAATTTGGCATTATCGAAACCTGTCATATTAGTAATAGCACTATGTTCATAGCCATTTGGATTTTGTGCCGGTGTCTTCATATAACGTTCAGTATAAATGGAATCATAGTATCTATAAAAAATAAAAAATAAGTAAGTATTGCACAAAAATTATAATTTTTAAAAATTTCGATTTTTACCTCCAATCGGTAACGGGTGCAACGGCCATTCCAACTTGAAAGACTCTAGAATCTAATTCAATAACTTTTGTAGTTAAAAACCCTCCATATGACCAGCCCCAAACTGCCATTTTATTTGAATCAACATAAGGTAATTTTGACCAATAACGTCCAGCATTAACTACATCCTTTGATTCAAAATCACCTATATGTTTCCTAACACCACATCTAAATTTTCTTCCCTTAAACCCTGTACCGCGTGTATCTACTATTACTGTAATATATTTTAATCGTTCTGATGAAGCTAAAAACACATGCCAATCAATTTTGAATCTTGTTTGAACGAGCTGGGAATTTGGACCTCCATAAACATTGAATAATACTGGATATTTTGTTTTTCCGCTTTCATCCATTCCAGGTGGTCTTATTTCGACAACATTGAGAACTAATTGGCAAAATACATAAGTCAAAATTATTACTCCATATAATCTAATACTTGAAAAATAAAACTTACTGTTTCCGTCACTTTCAATCGTTAGATGTCTTCTTGTGGGAGTTTCGAGGGATCCCATAAGTTTTCTGAGGCCATCATTCTCATGTAAAACCAATGCAAAATCTAAAACATATAACCACGATTAACCGCAAAATTTAACAAAAAATTTATTATTATTATTTTTATTGAACTTACTAGGGTCTCCAATTTTTAATACTTTTTGCCAGGGAATATCAGGACCTTCATAATTTAAATTATAATATTGAGCACCTGGTGAAAAACTAACCGAATAAAATCCTTCATTATTGATGTCTGTTAATGCTGTTCTATTTTTCCCATTAAAATCTACGGAATATAGATGTCTTTCTATAGAAGACTTTTCCGTGCTGATATAATATCTGAAAAATAAAAGAAAAAGTTATAACGTTAAATCTTAAATTACTCTTATTTCAAGCCCTTTAAAAATCATGCAAGGCTCTTACATCAATTCTCGTTCATAATCAACCGCTTGTATTCTACCATCAACCTCCCATTCTCCACTAGTGAGAAACTTAGGCGTATTTGAATCAACAGGCGAAAATAGGGCGAGATGATCATATCCGTTATTAACCACAATATCAACATAACCATCCTGTTCGAGACTACCCGACTTTTTCACGTAAAACATACTCCTATTCTACATAATTAAAGTATTATAATATAAATATGTCCTTTAATATGAATGCCAAGAAAAATTTTCTTATTATATTGAAAATAAATAACAAATAAACTTACTATTTCATACCATCCACCATCCATTTTATCAGCATCTTCTTCGCGTACAGTTTTTCCTTTACGGGTATTTACATTAACAAGAACTATCCTTGAGATGTCTTGAACGCGATTCATGACTCTTACTAAAACAGTATCGTCCCCAGCCCACATAACTTCTGTTATTATTCTTTCATCGTCTGAAAAATCGTCTTCAAAAGTAATGGCGCCAAATTGTGAGGCTAATGGAGTTTCCAAATCATAGACATGAAAAGTTGCGATCGGGTTTGGATACCCAGGTTTAGGATATCTCATGACAACCTCCTTAGGATAGGGTGTAGCATTAAAATGAGTCAGATAAATGGGGAATTCGTACTCGGGAACTTCTGATTCATTTAATCGAAGATAACCAATACGTTTTCCTCCGTTAGACCACCAAATTGCATTATCTGTCTTAAGAACCTCCTCTATAATACGGACATTTAAAGATTACTTAATTTTTATACTCAATAAATATATTAATTGAATTCGAAAATAAATACCTTCATAAATCCAATCTGGCATACCATTAAAAATGACAGCTGAACCATCAAATGTAAGACGTCTTTCATCTACTAAATTTACTGATACATACATGTCATTGTCTTTGATAAAGGCCTATAGAATAATCAGAATTTAAGTAATCTTAAAATAAGATAAACGTGAATGATTTACAAATATAACCATACCACAGTGTGACCAACAGGACTCCATTGAGCATGCGCTATTACCGCTTGATGATCTTTGTCAATGGGATTTGTAAGAGGGAAAGTTGAACGCGATGTTATGTTGAATATCCAATAATTTGAAAAGTGTGAAAATCTCCATTGCTTAAAGAGGAGAATGTATATTAATTAATGTGACGTCATTTTCTGCCATAATAATAAAAATTTTTTTTCATATTCAATACCTTCGTTCTGTTAGTAGTAAGCAAAACATATTCTGAATCCGGCGATACAACAAAATCATTATAATGAAGATGTTTACCATTTGGCTAAAAAATGTGACAATATAGTTAAGTACTCTCATCTGACAATTAATTAAAGTGTATATGTCCTAAATACTAACATCGACAATGTCCTTCCCGTTGACCAAAATCTTCTTTTTATCATCTGCGACATACTTGACTATTATACTATCATCATGATCTCGATATATGAAAGCACCATCAACATCTAAAAAAAATTGGTTCAATTGTAAACATACATGTGTTTTTAAATTGAATAATTAAAAATTCTGAATTGAACCAACATACCATCATCCGTCTTAATCCATTCCAACTTCTGATATTCAGGAATAAAACTACCGTTATATAAATCATCAAACTGTATTCGGCTAGCAAGGCTACCAGTTCCAGACATATGACCTGTCCTATAAAATCCATAAATTATGGCCGAGGCAACCCAGGCGAATACAAATATTCCAGCAATACATAAACACGGTAAAATTGATCTATCGATTTTCTACGAATTGATCAACATAAAATTAGTAATTTAATTCTGGATATAAATCTTTTTTTTTTTTTCTTGAGAAAAATAAACTCACATCTTGTTTGCCATATTCCATACTGTCTATATTTTCTTCCATGTCAAGTACAGTATCGTCTTCCCCTCTTTCTTTATTAAGCATTGTTTCTTGTTCTTCCTCACTATTTTTGTGACCGAATCCATTGTCGCTGTTTGGGGAATCTAGAGGATCCCCAGTCTCATTCACAGAAGATAATCGTGGATCATGTTCTGTTTCCTTGGAAGGTAACGATATATATTTCATAAAGCTCATCTTTGCTACTTAAGAAATTAAACTTTTCCCTTTGTAATATCCTTCATGAACAGTCAACGTCGTCTTATTCACGAAGAACCGACTATTACATGTATTAACGGTTGTATTGTAAAAAAGCGACTAAGCCACCACTAAGCCACCACTAAGCCAATAATTATAAAATGTTTGTGATTATAAAATTATATAATAAGGGCTTAGTTGTAAATAATTCGAAGAAATTAGTAAGAAAAAAACCTTCGCTTCTCAAACTCGAAGACTCGAAGACAACAAATTTTACTTTCAAAAGAATTTCTGTTAATTAATTTTATTTTATTTATATTAGCCACAAATGTGATTTATCAATATACCAAAATTGGCAAAATTATAATATAGTAGATACTATAGTACTTTCTGCTGTTACCATTACATTTCTATGAAATTTCTAATTATAGCCATTATATGATTAAAAGCGCCGATCAAATAAACAACTAAGCCAATATGTATTATTTGTATTATTCAGCATTTAAGCCACATGATTTGGTTTTATCGGCTCGAATTAAGGTAGATTTCATAATTTAATTTGTGCGTTTAAATCGTACTGTAGTTGATAGAACATCTAACAAAATTAACGGCTCAAAATAACAATCGTACACTTATCGACCCAAGGTTATTAAATAATCTATTGACATATATTCAATTTTTTTTTTTTTTTTTAAAAAAAAAAAAAAAGAATAATTTATTTGATTTATTACTTACTTAGGGCTCGATATTAATCTTACGAGGATCCGCTGATCGTGTAACATAAAATATGGAATATCTTTTATTAGCAAGAATTTGCAATTAATAGGTTCATAAAAAAGATGGACGATATTATATTTGACGACTCCCAGCAGTCTACTTCAACAACAAGTAGTTCAACACCGCTAAACCAAACTAATGCGTCGGAAATTTTCATTTCACAGGGCGAGTCAAGAAGAAATTCTCTCGCCCTTGAGGACGATTTGTCTAATTTTGATCAACTTACACTTTCGGCGGCAGATGCTTTAAAATCAAAATTGTAAAGAAAATGTTCCTTGCTTTTTTAATACATTATATTTGTTACTATAAATTATATTGAATGACAATAAATTATTCAAATAGGACAGACATGGATGATTTTACGTTTAAACGTAAGCGTTCAGTTGGTAATCGATTATTTTCTCGAACTGATACACCAAAAAAACGTTCGAATCTTGAGGGTGGATATGTTTCTACTAGTCTTAGAAAGCATAATGATGAAGAATTTGATGGAGATGTGACAGAATGGACAATGGAGGGCACTGGTAGTAGAGTTGCATATGATGATTTTACGACAATAGGTTCGTGATGCATAAATTTAGTCGAATCCACTGTTATTGGAAAAGTTGGAAAAGAAATATTAAATTATTATATCGTTCATTTTGGTTATCTAAGATTGGATACATGATTTTGCAAAAGAACGCGCACGACAAAAAAGATTACATCAACAAAAAGGTATACGAGGAAGATTAAACATTTTGTTTGATGCGATGGAAGGGTGGATAGTAGTTTTAGTTGTTGGTGAGTTATTGTGTCATGTTAATTAATGTGATCTTTAAACCATGTTATTTAATACGATATATTCTGATGTTAGGTATCGCATCTGGTATTCTTGCTGGAATTATTGATATAACTTCAGATTGGCTTAGTGATTTAAAAGAGGGATATTGCGAAACTGCATTCTATTTGAATAGAAGATTTTGTTGTTTGGGTTATGATGGTACGTAATTTCAAATGGGTATATGTCTTATATGTTATTCAATAGTTAACTATTAATTTCAATATAGACGAACAAGATGAATGTAGAGAATGGATAACGTGGAATTCTGCCCTTCAAGCAAGATCAGTAGCTGCAGAATTTTGGACAAATTATTTATTTTATATAATTTTTTCGGTAAGATTGGTGATTAGAATAAAAGAATTCTCTTTATTTTGTTCCGATATTTATAATATTTGGATACTTTGTTCTTAGACATTATTTGCCACAACGGCTGCTTACTTGGTCAAAACTTATTCACCATATTCGGCAGGTAGTGGTATACCAGAAATAAAAACAATTCTAGGAGGTTTTGTCATCCGAAAATTTTTAGGATGGTGGACATTAGTTATCAAAGGCATTGGAGTGGTTAATATCTAATTTAATTTGAAATTTAAACGTCATGATTAATGAATTTTTTTTGAATTAATATATATATTTAAATTATTTTTAGTGCCTAGTTGCAGCATCTAGTCTTTGTTTAGGTAAAGAGGGCCCTTTGGTTCATTTGGCTTGTTGCTGTGGTAATATAATTCCTCGAATTTTCCCAAAGTTTAGATATAATGAAGGTAATAATTATTAAAATTCAATATTTATCAAATATTATTATTCATTGAATTTATTTTTGTGAAATCCTCAATTAGCAAAGAAGCGTGAGGTGTTATCAGCAGCTGCTGCTGCCGGTATATCGGTGGCATTTGGTGCACCGATTGGTGGCGTTTTATTTAGCTTGGAGGTATTTGAAAAAAATTTGATAAATCAAATATTTAAGTCGCTATTATTTGTGAGTTTGAGATTAATGTTGTATCATTTAGGAAGTCTCATATTATTTTCCATTCAGAACCATGTGGAGGAGTTTCTTTTGTGCTATGGTTGCTGCTGTTTCACTTGCAGTATGTGATTTTATTTATTATTGCTTTTATTAATAGAACCAATCGTTCTTGGATCGTTACATGCTGAAGACGTGTTTTTTTTGCACTATTTTAGTTCATGAATCCATTTAGAACGGGAAAGTTAGTCCTTTTCCAGGTTGTTTATGATAGGGATTGGCATGCGTTCGAACTTTTCTTTTTCGCACTATTAGGTGTTATGGGAGTATGTGTAGCCCAAAAATTAATTATTAATTATTAATTATTATTTTTAATTATAATGATTTTATATAACCAATTTTTAATATTTGTAGGGGTTATATGGTGCTTTATTTATAAGAATGAACCTTAAGATTGCAGCTTTTCGTCAAGATTCATGGTTACGTTTCTTTAGTGTTCATGAAGTTGTATTTATGTCCGTACTTACTTCAATTGTGAGTTATTTAAACATATTTATGAGGGTTAATCCATCTGAATTGGTTGCTAATTTATTTCGTGAATGCGTTGGAGGAGATTATCATAATCTTTGCAAGTAAGTTTATAACCATTCAAACTTATTTTATATTCTTTCTAATAATTAGCTTTAACTAAAATGCCATTATAATTAATAATTCAATAGTCATGTAAATCATTGGAAGCCAACATTATTGCTATTGATTGCCTCTATTTTAAAATTTTTCTTTACTGCGTTTACATTTGGGTTAAAAGTTCCTGCTGGTGTATGGTTGCCGTCTATGGCAATAGGTGCATGTTTTGGAAGAGCCGTAGGATTGACCGTACATGCTTGGCATATGTAATGATTACTTTTATATTTATCATATTATTAATTTCATATTCTCAATTATTTACGCATTTTTTAATTATTTAAGGTATAACCCTAATTTTTGGCTTTTTGCTTCATGTGCACCAGAAGGCCGATGCATTACACCAGGAATGTATGCGATGGTTGGTGCAGCTGCAACTTTTGGAGGAATTTCGCGAATGACTGGTTAGAAATCATTTTATTGAATTTTACAAACGATAATAGCAGATATTAACTACTTGTTTTCTTCTGATTATATTTAGTATCTCTAGTTGTAATTATGTTTGAATTAACAGGCGCATTAACTTATGTACTGCCTATTATGATCACAGGTGCGGAAATGGTCAATTTTTTTTTAAATTTGATGTACCGGTTTACTGAGAATCATTTCTATATATTATACAGTCATGATTAGCAAATGGGTTGGTGATGCCTTTGATAAAGAAGGCATCTCCGACGGTTGGATACGTATGAGTGAATATCCTTTCTTAGATACCAAAGAAGAATATGTGTATAATACATTAGCTTCTCAAGTAATGACTCGTGTTGATGACTTAATAGTAATAACCGCAACGGGTCATACACTAGATAGTCTAGGTATTTTTATTTATTTTAAAGACATATATAGTTAATTATGATAATTATTATAATATTGTAAATTCTTACACATTTTTTAACGATTATATAGAGAAACTGTTGAATAGCGTGGATTATAAGGGCTTTCCTGTGGTTCATAATGCAAAAGATATGTTACTTACTGGTTACATTTCGCGTTCAGAGTTGAGATATGCAATTGGTATGAATTTGAGATATTAAATAAACGATCATAAGAATTTGTTTTTAATTGTTATTGTTTTTGATTAGATAAAGCAAAAAAAAAACCGGGAATCTTATTGTCTAGCCCTTGTTACTTTTCTGGCAACCTTCCTATACTTGATGATTCAATTTTTATTGATTTCAAACCATGGATGGATCAGGTAATATAATTATTATCTCTTTGGGAATCTAATTTTATTATATTATTTAGAATTATTTAATTATTTTTTATTTATAGACACCAATAACAGTTTCTCATAAGTTTCCAATGGAAATGGTGATTGAATTGTTTAAAAAGATGGTAAGATCATAGAATTTATAATTATTAAAAATATATTGTTCAATATTGTATATATCTAATCAATCTACTACCTATTTAAGGGTTTAAGATATACCCTAGTTACAAAGAAAGGACAACTTTTGGGATTAATTACAAAGAAAGATGTATTAAGACATCTTTCAATAATGTATGATCCAAATTCGTCAGAAGACGATTTACAAGAAAATCTCATGATGTTACCCGAACGAAGAATGTCAAGTTTTGTCGGTGATTTTGGAATAGACTAATTTATTACTATTTAACGGTTTAAGTATATTAGTGTTGGTAATTAGAAAATTTCGAGCGAATTGTATATTATAATAAGTAAAAAAGTAATTGTAAATTTTATAAACATTTTTAAATTAAATAATATTTAGATTTTATTTATAAAAAAAAATCGACTCGGTAATGTTACACCGGAATTTTTCCGGTCATGAAATGTTGCAACTTGTTATTGGTTATAGGAATTTGATCATGATTTTCTGCCTGAATGAGAATTATAATAATTAGCAACGCTGCAGTTGGTACACCAGGAAACATTTAAGTTTTGGATCGTCGTACAACATTAAATTTATAAGTTTTGTGAAAATCTTTCCTGTATGATAAATTCTTATAATTCTCTTCGTTTCTTTCTTTTTTTTTTTTGATCTGTAATAAATATACTAAAAAGAAATCATGGAAATTGATACTTTATCTGTTATTTTGTTGGTTTTAATCATATTTTTTACATTTCTTTCAATTCGTGATGCTCCAAATCCCGATGTACATCCTTTATTATTAACTTCACAGTCTGACTGTGCTAAAGTTCGAAACCCTGGTGAGACTGCTATCTACAGAGCAAGTAGTTCTGCTCATGGCATGCCTTTAATGACAAGTCCTGACAAAAGTATAAAAATTATTTCTGATTTATTCGAAAATGGAAAAAAACTTGGAACGGACTGTCTTGGTTTCAAGGATACTAATGGGTTTCATTGGGTAATATATATTTATAACATATTTATTAAAATAAAATTATGATAAATAATAAATTAAAAATTAATTCATTATCCAATGTTTTAAAATTAAATATTTTAGGAATCATATCGTAAGTAACAAATTATGAAAGTAAATAATGTTTTAATTAAAAATAAAATAAAATTTTATATTTGTATTAAATTTTAGAACAAGTTGCCGAAAGAGTTGTAAATTTTGGAACAGGATTGATAAAATCCACAGAATTGACACCTAAATCATCGAGTATGTTTGGGATTTTCATGAATAGTCGACCAGGTATTTTACCGAAAGTGATTTTTCTTTATTCATTAAAACCTCTGAACCATAAAAATAATATTTTAATATATATATATATATATTTGTTTATAAAGAATGGGTGATTGCAGATTTGGGTAAATATAATAACTTTTTATATGACTCTAAGAATCATTTAATGAAATGTTTATTCGTGAATTAATAATGAATTTTCTTTTTTAAACGATGAAAAGTTGCCAGTCATTATAGTTTAATTACAGTAGCTATACCAAGTATTCCTCTTCGTTTGAATGACATTATCAGCCAAATAAACCTTACACAAATCGGAGTTATAGTGGTATCCAATGATACGCTTCCAATTATTTTCAGTGCCGCGCCATCTTGTGCATCATTAAAACATGTCATATTGACGGAGTCTTCAATTTCATCTGATCAAAGCGAAAAGGCCAAAGCTTTGAATTTAATTTTGACAAGATTCAAAGAAGTTGAAGAATTAGGCTCTCAATCTAAATTGGAATTCGTTGTAGCTGGTAGAATAATAAGTTTTTCACCTTGTTCATGATATATATTTGATGATACAATTGACTTGAATACAACTTACTTTAACTTTCTTATTATTATCAACAGAACCTGGAGAAACTGCAACTATTGTATTTTCGAGTGGGACTACATCAGGCGTATGTAAAAATAATATAATTAATTTATTTTTTTAAAGGTTAAGCTAATGATCCTTTCCTTTTATTTCTTTAATAGGAACCGATTGGAATTGAATTGACACAAGAAGTAAGTTAGTTAATTTGTTGTTTAATGAATAGTCTATGGAAATTTTATTAACTTTTGACATTGAATGATAGAATATCGTTGCAGATGTTGGTAAGTCAACACAAGTTATACTACAAGAAGTGTACTTTACAAAAAATTTTTTTAACAATTTTCTTAATTAGCCGGAATCCTCTCGACAATTCCAAATGCACAAAAAATCATTCCCTCCGATAAGCATTTATCATATTTACCACTTGGTAAGAATTAATTTGAGTAGTTTTTATTACTTCTTGCAATCCTATTTACCTTCACATGATTTTATATTTATATTTTAGCTTACATGTTCGAAAGGATCACAGTTCTTGCTCTTTTATATTCCGGAGCATCAATTGCATTTTATAGTGGAAAATCATCTACTGTATTAAAAGAAGCCGAAGAAGTTAAACCTACCATTTTTACCAGGTTTGAATATTTATTCTTTTTTTTTAATTCTTTTTTTTTTTAAGATTCTAATCTTCGTTTTTTTCGCCTCTTTTAGTACACCCCGATTTTTGATTCGATTTCATGAAACTATTAGACAAGAATATGGAAATCAATTTCTTTTTGAGAGAGGATATGCATTTAAATTAAAACATCTAAGAAAAGGAAAGTTGGTTACAAATTCACTTTGGGATATGTTGGTATTTAATAAGATCAAGGAAAAATTTGGAGGTCAAGTTCGAGTTATTGTTACTGGAGCTGGTAATATATTAAATTTATTATTTTTTTTTAAGGAAATAATATTGATTTTAACGTGATGAAAAACTCATTACACACATTTTATTGTGATAGGACCAATTTCTCAAACTATACTTGATTTCCTCCGTTTAACCGTTGGATGTCAAGTTATTCAAGCTTATGGTCTTACTCAGTGTAGCGGTGCTGTTACATTTAATGCGTTTTTTGATTATCAACCAGCTGATCGATCAGGATGTGATTCACATACTGGTGGACCGATTCCATGTAATGAAATCAAATTGGTGAATTATGAGGAGAAAGGTTACACTGTTGAAGATAAACCTAATCCCAGAGGAGAAGTATGTATCATATATAACAAAATGATATAGCTTTTTACGGATTAATTGTATCAATAATCAAATATGTTTTATCAAATAATTATAGATTTGTGTAAGAGGACCAAATGTTATGAAAGGTTATTATAAACGTCCAGAGCAAACAGCTCAAGCAATTGATTCTGAAGGGTGGCTTCATACTAGTGATATTGGAATGATCTTACCGAATGGAACATTAAAAATCATTGATAGAAAATTGGTAAATTATTTAATCACCTTTTTTATGTCGTTTTTTTTTTTTAAAAAAAAAACAATTGCTATTTCTAATTTTACTTTATACCTGATATTTATATAGCCAATTAAACGACAAAAAGCGGCGGAATTTTAATTTTAAGTATTATAAAATCTAGTTTTTTTTATATTATGCGAGATGTTATTGTACTTTTTTTTTTAATTTGTCTTACAATTATTTAATAATAAATTATCTATTAAATTTATTTAAATTAATGATAATGTATAATTGATTATAATTACTTTTTATAATAAGGCATTTAATATGCTTATAAATGAAACTCTTAAATGCGAATATATACACACATATATGTATTATTGTTATTAGTGAGGTTTGGTGATCTGTTAAGTGAGATTCATAAAATACAAAAAAAAATACGCTTTTTATGTAACTATTAAACATACCAATGACGCAAAAATATTAGTGCAAATGTTCATAAGCTCTCCAACAAATAGTTTCAACCGAACCTTCTTTGGATTTAAATTAAATTATATTGGACAATTGACATAATTTAACAGTAAGTTATATAACGTTTAAACTTTTTGTTCAAGTTAAGTTTAAAATTCTCCCTGTTCATGTTTCTCAACATTTTATTTTTAATGACCTATCTTATCTTTTGATGCGGACTATCTTTAACAATTAAATAGAATGGTTAAATATATATAATAAATAACCTACGATTGTTAACTATAATGAAGACAAAAAATAAAACTTTCGATAAAAAAAAAAATAAACATAAAACTGAAATTAACAAAATAAGCCAATCCAATGAAAAAATAAAATACTAATAAAAGAATAAATACTAATAAAAGAATAGCAACAACATCCTTGAAGAGAATAATTATAATAAAACATTAAAAACTAAGTAGATAAATTAAATAAGCGAAAATTACATATCACCAACTCACCAATTATGACTGAATAGTTTCTTCATCGCTTTCGTTTTTTACGCATACTAATGAAAGAGTGATGATAAATTACCAAAATACTTGAAATACTTGTATCGCTAAGAAATAAAAACCAATTCTAAAATTTTGTGATATAGATATTTATGTTTCATTAAAAAGATATCACTACGATCGCATCTAACTCATACTATGACGTTTAGACAAATTTTTTCAATAAAGCATAGAGTTCAGTAAGTCAAGTACCATTATATTAAGAACAAAAGATGTCAATTAAGTAAATGGTTTAACTATAACTCAACTACATACATTATTAACAATAATATTTCAAACCTGAATGAAGAAAAAATTTCTGTATATTATGATATTGTAATAATTAGTTTATATACAGTTATTAAAGCGATGAATTTTAATAAATTTTTTTCGTGATGAATATTACTTTGAAATACAAATTCTTCCGTTCACATAATTTATGAATGTTTTACGTTGTTCATTTTATAATAAATTAAAACTAGACGCATTTAAATTACATTTAAAAATTAGTTTTCCTACTCTCTAAATTATTGTGAAATTGATACATAAAGTTACAACTAATTATGTAAAGAAATTGAAGATAATGGTGAAAATGATGAGGAACCAACAAATATTTCAACCAGAACAAGAAAAATTAAAAAAAAATTAACTTTAATTATTGAACATTATATATTATTATAATGTACATATTTCTTGATAACTACAAATTTCCCTTTATTTTTATTTCGGTACTTTTTTTTACTGATAAAAAATTACATTAATTGATTTATTGAATAAATGATAAATTTACAATTATTTTTTTATTTATATAATATAAAATATGAGAATATACTCACCTAAAACAAATAGCATCACAACTATTACCAATTTTATAACTATCAAATTATGAAATATAGCAATTAGTGTACATCTACAATCATGTAAACGTATCTTAATTTGTATAAATCATCTTTAAAAATTACCCTAAAAATATTCTCACATTTAATATAAGGCATCATGTATAAATTGTCAATATGTATTATATTATTATATAATTTCTAAATAAATATTTCTATTTATTTTACAATACTTCATTTTAAAAACAAATTGAATCATCAAAATTTATAATCCTTAATATACTCTTAGTAAAGGCCAGCCAGAGGCTGGCTGTGGGCATGACTAGTTACAAATAAAGAAAACTTATTTTTATGTGATTAAAAAAAAATTTTTTATCCGAGAAAAATTTTCTAAAATAATCGACCTCTTATTTTCTATTTTTGGGAAATAGAATATGTACATTTATGTACGATCGGGCACACAACAATATAGTATTTATGCAAATAATTTTTAACGGTATGTTGGCTAATTTGACATTTTTCGTTTTTTCTTTCTATCACAATTTCAGAATAGTACAATGGCGATATGTAAAATATGTGGCTATGATGACCATAGTAATTACTATAGATGGTGTAAATGTCGAATAAACCATTTAAGAGAAAATTTCACAAACTGGACTAGTGGAAATGAAGAAGTTGACAAATTAATTCAAGAAATGCAATTAAAAATTAATTCCTATAGTGATATTGTATTTGAATGGATACCATATAACCAATTTGATGATATTAAAGGAAATAATATGAGTAGATTATGTTTAGCAATATGGAAAAATGGTCAATTGCTTTATAGATATAGTGCAGAAGGATATACGAGATTCCCAAATAAAAATATTGCTTTAAAATATGTCTCTAGTTCTCAAAATATTGCGGATGAGGTACGAAATCTTATAAATTATTCAAACAATATCGTAAGATCATCATAACAACCCCATTTTGACATTGTAACAATATCAAAACAATTTCATTACAATATCATCACGATATCACTTATCGTTACGATATAAATGTAATATTGTAACGAAATTGTTTTGATATCTTATAATAAATATCAAAGGTCGTTAAGATAATCTTAACGATGTCGTTAACAATATCACTACGATATAATTTCGATATTGTTAAAATATTATTCAATATCATTTTGATATTGCATAGTAGCTATATTGTGACGATATCATAATGATATCAAAATGATATTATTTTGATATTGAAATGATATCGTTTAAAATAAAGAGATTTCTATAAAGTTATAACTACTTTTTTTTTGTATAATTATTAAATTTTTTTTTTATTCCTTAATAGATCAAATCTTTTTCAATTAAAAGTTACGCTGTTAATAAAATATTTGGGATATCTCAAAATCCAGATACAAATGATTATATTCTTGTTCTTGAAGATGCATATTGTATAAAATGTAACCAAAAATATAAATTCCATAAAGTGTGTTTAACATGTAAAATACGGTATAGTAGGGATGCAACAATTGATAATATAATTCAAAAAATACAATTCGAAATTGACTCTTATGATATATTTGAATGGATACCATTTAATCAGTTCGATATTAAAAAAATGGGTAGGGATGATTCTCCTAAAGTATACTCAGCATTATGGAAGGAAGGTTTATTGCAATATGACAATAATAAAAACGAATATATAAGAATTCAGAACGAAAAGGTTGTATTAAAATATATTTACGGCGATTCACAAAATATCATTAATGAATTTAATAAGGTATGAAATTTTATAATTCGAATCAAATACTCTTTAGATAATAACTTTTTTGCTTTAATAGATAAAAAACAGTTTTGATTGTAAAATATATGGAATTTCTAAAAATTCAGATACAAATGATTATATATTGGTTTTCGAAGATAAATATTGTGAATACTGTGAACTGCATACTACTACATATGGTAATTGTAAACCGTGTCAGATAAATTATATTAAAAAGAATTTTACAGACTGCGCTAATGAAAATAAAAAAATTGATAATTTAATCCAAGAAATGCATTTAAAAAATGATTATAATGATATAGTGTTTGAATGGATATCATATGATCAATTCAATAATATTAAGGAAATGGATGAATGTGACTTTATTAGTAAAATTTATTCAGCAGTATGGAAGAATGGTCCATCATATTATAATGGTGAAAACAAATATGTAAGAAATTTAAATCAAAATAAAAGTATTACCTTAAAAAATTTATGTGATCCACAAAATAATATTGATGAAATTCTGAATGAGGTATGTAATTTATTATTAGATTTTATTATAAATGAATGAATTTAAACAGTATTTTTTTTCATAATTGATAGATTAAGAATTATTCAGATTGTGAAATATATGGAATATCTCAGGATTCAGATACAAAAGATTACATTATGGTTCTTGAAGATGGATATTGTAAAAAATGTGGACTATATACATATGGTAAATGGTGTAAACTATGCCGAATAAATTATTTTAATAAAAATTTTACAGTTCACGCTAATGAAAATGAAAAAATTGACTATTTAATTCAAAAAATGCAATTAAAAAGTGATTATGATGGCATAGTATTCGAATGGATACCATATAATCTGTTCAATAATATTAAGGAAATGGATGTATATGACTTTACTAAAATTTATTCAGCAGTATGGGAGAATGGCCCATCATATTATAATAGTAAAGACCAATATATAAGAAACAAAAATAGGAATAAAGAAGTAAAATTGAAAAGTTTATGCAATTTACAAAATATTACTGACGAATATCTGAATGTGGTGTGTAATTTCTTAATAAACTTAGTTACTAAGTACTTTCAACATAACTAATTGAATAACAATTTTTTTTCACATTTAACAATAGGACAAGAGTTATACAGACTGTATATTATATGGGATATCTCAAGCTCCAGGTACAAAAGATTATATTGTTATCTTTCAGGATGATGAATATTGTGAAAAATGTAATAGGAAATATACAAATGGATACACTCCCGCGCAATAAGTTTAGGACCACCTTATTTTTGTTTATATTAATAAAGTTTTATTCTTATTTATATAATTTATTTTTTTTAAAAAAAAAATTTGTGTTATAATTTTTTGAATAAACATAAAAAATTACCATATTTGCATTTATAAATCATGTAAAATAAAGTTTTTTTTTAATAGTAAAATTTTAACTCTTTAACTAAAGCAGTTACAGTAAAATGAATACAAAATTCTAATAGTTTAGCTAACAATAAAATTATATTCCAAATTTCATGAAAATTGAGTCAGTAGTTATCGAGAAATTAATAATTAAAGATCGACAATTTATATATGAAAATCATTTATTTATTAGGTCAAATATATAAATTGTCGATTCTTAATTGTTAATTTCTCAATAACTACTGATTCGATCTTTACGAAATTTGAAATATAATCTTATGTTTACCTAACTATTTAAATTTTGTACTTATTTTTGTTGTAATCACTCTGGTTGAAAAGTTAAAAATTTGTCATTGAGAAAAAAACCTTGTATTATATGATTTATAAAGATCAATATGATAATTTTTTATATTTATTCAAGAAATTACAATGTAAAGAATTTTTTTTAAAAAAAAACTTATATAAATAAGAATAAAACATTATTTATATAAACAAAAATAAGGTGGTCCTAAACTTATTGCGCGGGAGTGTATATTAAGTTGTGTATTATATGTCAATATAGCCAATATAGTCTTTTTAGTGGAAGTGAAAAAATCGATGAATTAATCCAAGAAATGCAATTAAAAATTAATTCACATAATGACATAGTATTTGAATGGATACCATATAGTCAGCTTGATGACATTAAAAAAATAGGTGAAGGCGATTTTGCTGCTGAAGTATATTCGGCAATATGGAAAAATGGGATGTTATATTATGATTATAGTATACATGAATATAAAAGAACTCAGAATAAAAAAGTTACTTTAAAATATTTATATAATTCACAAAATATTACTAATGTATTCATAAATAAGGTATTAAATCTTCTATTAATACAATTCAAAATTTCATTTTTTTTAAATATTATTTTTTTTTTCTTTTAATAGATTAAAGCATATCCAGTATATGGAATATCACAACATCCAGAAACAAAAGATTATGTTATAGTTTTTCAGTATAGTGAAGAAAAATGTACAATTACAATGGATAAAAAAATATTAACAAACTGGACAAGTGGAAATGATAATATTGACGAATTAATCCAAGAAATGCAATCAAGAATTAATTCAAATGATGATATAGTATTTGAATCGGTACCATACAGTCAGTTTGATAATATTAAAGAAGTAGGTCAGGGTGGCTTTGCAAAAGTATATTCAGCAATATGGAAGAATGGTCCATTATATTATAATAGTAGTAATGAATATATAAGAATTCAGAATAAAAAAGTCGCTTTAAAATGCTTGCATAACTCACAAAATATCTCAAATAAATTTTTAAATGAGGTAAAATTATTTTTTTTGAATTTTAGATATTGCAACTTAATTATTTCGGTTATTTATTAATTGATAATTTTTATTATTTAATAGGTTAAAGCATATTCAATTAAGAAATATGATGATTATGCTGGTAATAATGTTCTTAAAATTTACGGAATATCACAAAGTCCGAATACAAAAGATTATATAATGGTTCTTGATTATGCAAAAGGTGGAAATTTTGATCATTGGGTATATAAAAATTATAGAAATTTTAATTGGTCATATAAATTAACAACATTATGGAATATTATTAAAGGTCTTGAAGAAATTCATCAAAAACAACTGGTTCATAATGATTTTCATACAGGAAATATATTATTAAATGTTTTATATGTTAATAATTTAAATGATAATAGTATATATGTTTCAGATATGGGATTATGTGGAAAAGCTGATGATGTTAACCAAAATAATATTTATGGAGTTATGCCTTATGTAGCTCCTGAAGTGTTAAAAGGAAAACCTTACACTCAAGCAGCAGATATATATAGTTTTGGTATGATTATGTATTTTGTAGGAACTGGAAAACAGCCTTTTTCTGATTGTGCTCATGATAAGATTTTAGCATTAAAGATATGCAATGGAATTAGACCTGAAATAAATGAGTCAGAAGCGCCAAAATGTTTTATTGATTTAATGAAAAAATGTTGGGATTCAAATCCAGGCAATAGACCAAAAATAACCGAAATTCTTGAATTAATTGATCTATATTTCTGTTCATATAAGTATGATAAATTTGCTTTCAAAAGAATTGTGAAAATTAAAAAAGAACAACAACATTATGAAATTGAAAAACAATTCAAAAAAACAGAAGAATACCGAAAATCACATCTCACACCATTTGACGAAAATAAACGATTAACTACTCATCCACAAGCTTTTTATACATCACGATTACTTAATCCATTTACAGAAGACCTTCCAAAAGATGACAATATTGGAAATAATTCAGTAGAAGTATTTGATTTTACAAAGTAAGTACTGTTTTGATTTTTGTTAACAATTCTATAATTGTATTAATTGGTTTTATTTTTTGTATGTTGTAGTTATGAATGAATGAAATTTAGAATGTTATAAGTAATGTAGTATAAATTAAGTTGAAATTAGCCACTTGTTATCAAGCTTTTTGTTCTATAATTGATTTCAATTTAACTAGATATATTACGGAATTTAACATTTTATTTATTTTTATTTTTTATTTTTTCATTTATATTTATTTACTTGTTGCTCAACACTGATCACTGATTATAGAGTATATGTAACTTTGTTTTTACATAAATAAAGTCAGTTTGTAATTGAGTAAGATAATTTCGAAATTTTAATTGATTGGAAATTTTACAAGTGAAGATTTTGAATCCGAGGTGAAGTAAAAATTACGTATATCATTGAACTGAATGTTCGAATTCAAATATTTATCTAGCGACTATAATTGTAGGCCTTTTCATTGAAACATTTAACTGTTAAGATGAACCGATTTATTTGAATTTAAAATAACGCGCGAAGTAAATAATTTAATTGAATTAAACTTTTACAAGTTATTATTATTATATTATAAATTGTTTCCCAAATACTGAATTAAATATTTTTTCTTAACATAATTAATGTAATTTTGTATGATTCAACTGCATTGGAATAAATTCTTTTTTTTTTTACTAAAAATATACATTTATATTTATTAATAAATATTTTAAAACTGCCGTAGTTTTTAAAAATAATGATAATTTTACGCCCCTGTTTTTTCTCTTATTCATTCTCGATTATATTTATTTCGGAAAAAAAAACAAAAAAATATAAGGAATAGTTTTTGATTTCGAAATGCGGAACATATTTTTTAAAAGCGATATGATTAAAAAAAATGTATTTTTAATTATACTACAATACATTAATATGTATTTTAAAGAATTTAATGATACAATTGATACAGGAAAGTGATACCTTAAAGTTTATTCACGGGATGAAATCGGGAGAAGAAAGCAACATCTGAACACTTAACTTTTGTTAAAAAATGATGAAATTATTGCCAAAAATGCTTTTATTACAGCATTACTACCACTTTTCTAGTTTTCTACTATAGGATGTAAAATTTCTTAGCTCATTTAAATTGATAAACCGTTCAGTAATACAAATCCATTTATTTTAAAAAAAGTTGTTAATAGATCAAAATTTTGCCCGATCTAACCAGAAATATAAATTAATGCTATCAAGAAGAATAGCTAGAAGCAAAAAAATCTTGAGTTGGATACTATTTAAGGTAAATAAATGATGTAAAAGTTTACCGAAAAAGAATCACAATGAGATAATGATTAAAATTTTGAGATTTTATTTAATCAGATATATTTCATTTTGTTAATTTTAACGAACGAATAAAATATGGATTTAATAAGTAAATTTATTTTGAGTTTCGATAAAAAAAAATTGTTTGTCTGTCAGTCAAAAGTAAATGAACGGATTTCAAGTAGGTTTTATATTCTCTTTATTTAATTATCTATTGGTTTAATTTTATTTTGAATAAGAAAAGTTTAACAACTTAATTTTGTTCGTACCCGATTACATATAATCGCGAGGAATTTATAATGTTCAAGTAGTTTCGTAGAATTATTCATTATTTTTTTTTTTTTTTAAAAAAAAGGATATCATTTCAAGGGTCATTGAGATGGTTACATGGTGTATCTTAAGCTTTTCGAAATTAAGCTCGAAAAATCAGACGATTTATATCATGAATGGAAATTATTTAATCATTAAATTTCTAGAATTTTAGATGATTGGTTCCTAGTGATTTTTTTTTGAGTCATATTATACAAATCTTTAGCAATACCATTTTCGCAATAATATTTGACATCTAGCATTTTACCTATTTTTAATCCCGTGATAATCATTCAATAAAATTTATTACACGTGACTAATGCCTTTATCAATTTTATTCATAATTAGGGATGACTAATTAAATTTTGTATCTCCTATTTTTATAAAATTTATTGTTCCCTATTAACCCTTAAATAGTAATATTAATAAGTAAATAAATCCGGTTTAACCAAACTTAGACAAACTAGATGGGTCAAATGTATTTTATTTAGGTCGCAAATGTATAATTACAAAATTAGTACATTTTTTTAAGTGGAAACAATGTATTAGACTCTTCCCTCTTTTATCACCATATTTTTATATTAGATACTACATTTACTGTACTAATTCTGTCATAACGTTCGTATACTGTATTAAACTATTTCTAAGTAAAAAAAAAACAGTGATTTTATTCGAAATAAAATTTATTATAAAGCCATTGTTATAACTTATCGTGATAGCTAAATTTATTTATTGTGGAATTTATGGTTTTTGATAAATTACTGTCAATTTCATAAATATGATCTTTAGATATTTATTTATCTTGGAAAATTTTTCATATTTGAATCAATTTTTGACTTTTAAATTTTGATTTGTTTGTTTCACTCAATTAATCTCTTAGTATTACACTATCCTAGTTTTATTATTATTAAATCACGAGTTTGAATATATACAATCAAAGTGAAGTCCAAATTTAAAATTTAGGATCTTAAAAATACCGGTCATATTAACTTATAAAAAAATTTCCTCTAAAGATTAAAAAATATAAAAATTTCCTTTCTATCCTTTCCTCTAAGAATTCACTTTTTTTTTAGGTTTCTAAAGGTTTAAAAGATGAAAAATATCTGATATCATAATTTAAAAATTTCGAAAAATTGAAATTGTGAGAAGGATCTCTTGTATAGCTTGAAAATACAGATGAGGCAACCCAACGAGGATGTCGTACAAATGGTTCAACAAATCCAGGTAAAGTGAATAAAATGATCATCATCATAATACTCCACCTTAAAAAAATTCTTTTAGAAGAACTTTCTTCATTTTCTTTTATTGATCCAAAGATACTTTCCCAAATAACAAGAATAATTCCATGTGAAGTAAAGAAGAAAAAATTATCAAATGAAAATTTATTAAAAAGAACGAATATGAGATATTCGTGTAATATGGCACTCATAGTAAATGCTGCTAAAACTCCGATCGCATCCCTAAAATTTTTTGATCTGTTAATGAAAAGGTTTCGAGCTGGTAAATAAGCTAATTCTTTAAAACTTTCGTTTAAGAATAATTGCCATCTGAATGACCAAAGATCTCGCGGAGATGTTGATAAGTAAGGATATCTAAACATATGATTTGTATCATAAATCATGGATATACACCATTCCTTAATATGTTTCATATGCTGTTTTTCGAAAAAGAAGATACTTTTTTCATCTTTTAAAGTGATAAGAAATCTTAAAAATATTCCATTTATAATAAGGAATAGATCGTATCCTAAAGATAACGTGATTGTGACAAAAAATGTAGTTACAGCGTAATAAAATAATAAAAAAGGTGTTAAAGCTGGAATTCCTTTTGTAATCCAGTTGAAAATTCGAACCGGGTAAATCCCTTCAGGTATTTCAGGAATATTATTTGTTATCCATCTGTATAATATTTCAAATAAAATCCACTTAAAAAGTAATATAATAATACGCTTAATTATGTAAATATTTATGTCTTTAATTGATATTTCTCGACTTTTATTCGTTTTTTCCGGCAATTTTCTCCAATAAAACATAGTCAAATAAAATGGACCTATTTGTTTCTCCTTCTCGGCGTATAAACATTTTTTTAACCAAATCATCATTTTAAAGCTCCAACCAAATGCCAATAATGTTAACGGAACTATTTCATATTCCTCATATTTTCCTCGATATATGATCGGAAGTGTTAACAAACATACAATTATATTGATTAAGATAAAGTATCTAAATAGTGATTTCGGAGGTTCTAATGAAAACGCAACGAAAGTGGAAAAGAGAGTAAAAAAAATTATTTGTAATATATGTAAAGGTAATTTTGGTGGGAATTCCTGGAATGAAATCATTTTAGATTGTTATTTTTTTTTTAGTTTCTTTATAAAAAATTTTATAAAATTAAAAAATGATGTAATCGTTAAAAAATTATATAAGAAACACTTTTTGTGAAAGTGGGAGGGAAAAAGTTAAATGTGCTGGAAAATTTTCTATTTTAAGAATACTATGTATGATTAAACATAATTGGCGTATTTACTATTTATTGTATTAATTTATAAATAAATTTCCTATTTAAAAGATAAGCGGAATGTCGTAATATTTGGAGTCACCTGACTTTTCATTACAGGACGAATAGCTGATTGTTATATTAATCGGGCCGACATTTTGTACGTCGTGTCATGCAGTCATGCAGTCATGCAGATCTTTTTTTTTTTGTACAGTATGATATACCTAATTCTTTTATTTCCATTTCAATGACAAATGACAACTGCCAGTTTATTTTAAATTCGAATTATTTTTATGAATTTTAAAATTTTTGGAAAATTTTAGTTAAATTAAATTTTTTTAAAAAAAGTAAAATTATTAATAATTTATGGTATTTTATAGTATTAATAGTTTTTTCCAAAATATATAATAAATTAATATTTTATAGCAATATTGTTGTAACCGCAAATTTAATTGTATACTGAGTTACTCATAATATCAAATATTTGATTTTTTTTTTTTTTTGAAAATTTTTATAACTGGTTAAAGCTTCAATGACTTTTTAAAATTTGAATTCATTGTTAGATTTGTTAATTAAATGTTTTTGAACTGATAAAATATACTATTTAATTAAAATTTTCGTTTATATCAGATACTCAAAAAATCGAGTTATTTAAATAAAGATAATAAATAATTTATTTATTATTTCCCTTTCGAAAAATCAAGAATTCTTTATTAAAGCAATAAGAACAAAATTAGCAATAGCCCGTTTCTTCGCACCGGGATTAAAGCACATAGTAGGTAATTCATAATTGCACACAAATAATATTCTGGAATAAGCTGTAATATGGACAAAAATATTAATAAATTCTTTTATTTATTAAATTTATCATAATTTGCCCATTTCTTTAATCATCCGAATTGGTTACATTGATAATGAATCATTAGTAAAAATAATCTAACGTTAATATACGAACCTAATGATCAACGTAATCATATTAACGGAAAGGTCGTGTAGCCAACAAAATGATCGGTGTTCATATACGCTAATTTACCGGTCAAAACTATTCTGGCTAAAATTCTATATGATGGAAATCTGTAATAAATTTGGCAGAGACATGATATACATTACGCAATTCAAAATTAATTTATAAAGTGTAATCTAGGTATAACTTAATTATATGGATAAATTTTTTTAAAAGGATGTTTAGTTATAATTAAAGACGTGATGTGAACTAGTTTGATCCTCAGCAATTTTAGGCCAGTCCATCAATCCTAATTATAATAGAATATTAATAAACGCCAAAATAAAAAATAGAAATTGAGAAAAAAAAAGAAAGTCACCTAAATAAGAAAAAAAAAGAAAAGAAATAAACCTAAGCTTAGCATAACATTTCAAAGTCTAAGAAAATATTCGTACGCTTTCAATTTACAATTTTGGGAATCCAGTTCAAAATCCAAAGATGTAGAGAGAAAAGGAGCCTTAGTTACATTCCTACAATAAAAAAAAATCACAAGATTCCAAACTAGGAGGAAAAATAAAATAATTAATATATATATAAGCTTTTAAAATTATAAGGTGAAATATAATAAAATAATTGTTATAAAATGGTTAAATATGAGAAAAATTAAAAAGTAAAAATATATATATATATATACAAACTACTTTAAAAACAGCTTTAAGCCATAAAAAAAATACTTAAAAAAATCACTAAAATAGTTTAAAAAAAGGTATCAATGATCAGATGGCAAGACTCTGATATTGTAACGCTCAATCCCGTTATATAAATTCTTACCACATCGAGTCGTTAACAAAATATTCCTTTATTTAATAACCAAATATCTTCTCTATATAAAATGTTCATAATATCCTATTAAACTAAATTCTAGAATCAACCTTCGATAGTCTCCTCTCATATACATTCTATCAACCATTAAAATTAATTAATGTGGCACTTTTTCATCATAAGAAAAAGGCAAAAAGAATCGAAAAATAATATAATGGGTAAAATAGGAAAATATATTGTCCTCCTTAATGGTTGAATACCTCTTATAATTCTTATGAGCGTTGATTACATTCAAAAGATATTTCTAAGCCTCATTTCAATCCCTGTGATTAATTCATAGATCTTCTAAACACGTGTCCAGTTTATACTCATGTGACAGGAGTTATCTAAAAATAACAAACAAAATTTATACACTTAAACTAAATATAAAACTGTGCCCCATGCCATAATTAATAAATTCACTAGATAATTCTGGTATTACAATATCAAAGCTGATTGGAGGATATCAATCTAACCAAAAATGAACAACAAATTATACAACTCATATTATCCTACAGCCACGTTAAACCTAAGCATGATCACTGCGAAGCAGCGATGATTTTCTAGATAATGGTGTAGTTAGCCGAAATATCCAACAGGAGCGCAAGAAAATGCCAATACATATATAATTTTCCAAGAGACCAAAGCGAACCAGCAAGACAAGGAGGCAATATCAAAATGTGTTGATTTAAAGTTAATAAATAAATTAATTAAATTAAATATATATAAATCAACATTTTAAAATTTATTAAATTTACAAACTATTCGTACGCAGGATGTTCAAAGGGTTTCCAAAAAAGTAAGCTGATTATTTAATGTTGGGCAGAATTAAATTTAACGAATAATCAGGAAAAAAAAAAGAATTTGTTAAATAAATCAAAATTGACATTTAAAATCAACTTTGACGCTTTAAGTAAACTTACAGAACAGGCAAAAATACACATTGCATGTTTTTAAAAAAAATTATATTTATTAAATTTTTTTTTTACATAACTTTTTAATAAAGTCACGTGATACGAGTATGAACCGAGAACTTTCAATAATAAAATATTGAAAATTTTATAATCATTTATACTTTATTAAGCTATAATAAATGTTCGAACAAAATTTATTTTAATTATACTAGTATTCAATTTAATTATACTCCTGTTACCGCTTAAATTATTGTGTTATATTTGTTATTTACGGCTCAGAAATATATATATAGGGGTCAGGTGATGAAAAAAATTTTTTACTATGAGCTGTACGCATTTTTTCAGGGCCGGAATTATGATAATGTCAGTAGGTTACTATAATAGGAAATAGAATTCTGACTGGTGTTATCAGAAATTATCTTAAAAAGGGAAGATTTTCATGAATTTTTCAGTTCAAAATACGCAAACTCAAACCTGACCCTTTTATATGTATTTCTGGGTCCTGGCTAACTACACTTTTTTAAAATAATAATGTAGTTAGCCGTAAATATCTGGCCGTAGTTGAATTATTCAAGATCGACATGGATTTTTTTCAGCTGGGTGTTTGAATATTTATATTTTGAAAATACAAATTCTTCCGTTGTGTAGAGGCTTAAACTAAAATTTAAGCTACTTTCATATAGTTATGATCGCTTTTTAAACTATCGGCGTATAACTATTATTCAATTTAATATAGAACTATTCATAATACCAAATATTTGCTCACTTTTATATAATTAAATTTTTTTTTTGAATTAATTTTCTGAAATCAACCATTTAAAAAACCGCTGAGAAAAATAAAATCAAAAAGTAAAAAAAAAATTTAAGAAAAACCAGTTTTAATCCATAAAAAAAAAGGGTTAAAGAGAAAACAAATCAGGATCAGCTGATCGGTTGTCAATCATGATAGGTCACACAAATAGACTCTTCAATCTAACCAAAAATGAATAATAATTAGTCCGAAGTGTAACGAAGGACTATATACAGTATATTATTATTATGAAAGATCTCAAAATACTCGTATCCGCTAGAAATAAAGAATATTCTAAAATTTTTGTGATGTAAATATTTATGTTTCATTAATTTCAATAAAAGCGTAGTGTTTAGCAAATCAAAAGTCCATTATATGATACTAAGAACAAAAAAGTATATTATAGATTTATAGTATACCCGACTATAGTATTTACAGTTTTCAAATCTGATTGAAGAAAAAAATTTCTACATATTACTATGACAATTGGTTTGTATACAATTTATACAGATGAATTTTAATAAATTTTTTTTCGAAACGAATACTATTTTGAAATACAAATTCTTCTATTCACATCATTGTTATCATTTTATAATAAATTACGTTTAAATTAAACTTATAATATATTACAAATTAGCTTTCCTACTTTCTAAATTATAGCGAAATTGGGTACGTAGGGTCATTTTTTTTTCGTGGTTATGCTAGGGTAGTCTCCTCACTCCTTATTGCGCTTTAATTTCAAATTATTTGATCTTCGATTTTTTAAGAGAAATTGCTCATAACATTTCTTCGTAACTATAATTAATAAAAGAAAAATATGCTGCTTATTAAAAAAAAGTTATAGCTTATTTACTTTCAAATTGTAATAGTATGTTCGATTCAATTTCATAATAATGGTTTCATACGATAAATAATTACGGTAAAAACCTTTTTTGTATTGGTTAGTAATCGATAAATACAAAATATAATGAATTATGTATAGTAAACTCGTCTACATATTGTTGTTACTGCTTCCATAAACAACTTATCGCGATTGAAAAATAATGTTGGTGAAACAGGTGTCTGCAGGACCCCTGAATACAGAGATAATTTTTAGTACTATTGTACATAAGTGTAACCATGTGATTATTACCGCAGAGGCTCCAATTTTCCTTAAATAGTATGTTGGCTAATTTGGCATTTTTTTCATTTCATTTTTTTCTTTCTTTCACAAATAATATAATGGCGATATGTAAAAAATGTCGCAATTATAATTGTCATTATTATGAATGGTGCAAACCATGTCTATTAAGGTATTTGAGAAAAAATTTCAAAAACTGGACCAGTGGAAATGGAAAAATTGATAATTTAATTCGAGAAATGCAATTAAAAGTCGATTCCTTTGATCATGCTATATTTGAATGGATACCATATTCCCAGTTTGATGATATTAAAGGAAATAGTATGAATAGGTTATGTTTAGCAATATGGAAAGATGGTCCATTACGTTATGAATTTACTGAAAATAAATACATAAGAAAAAAGAATATAAATATTGCTTTAAAATATATCTCTAAATCTCATAATATTGCAGATGAGGTATGAACTTTATAATTTTATTATAATTACTTACATTTATATAATAACATTTTTTTATGCCTTAATAGGTCAAATTTTATAATAGTGATATATTTGGGATATCTCAAAATCCAGATACAAATGGTTATGCTCTTGTTCTTGATAATGTATATTGTATAAAATGTGGCCGAAAATTTACATCCTATGCCAAATGTTCAACATGTAAAATACGGTATAGTTGGGATCAAAAAATTAATAATATAATTCAAAAAATACGATTCGAACTTGATTCTTATGATAAATTTGAATGGATACCATACGAACAGTTTTATAATATTAAAGAAATTGATAAAAGTAGTTCTGCTTACTCAGCATTATGCAAGGATGGTCCATATCATCGTGATATTAATATAAATAAATATATAAGAATTCGGAACGTAAAGGTTGTATTAAAATATATTGATTTACACTATATCATTTGTGAATATAATTGGGTATGAAATTTTATAAATTTGAATTAAATACTTAATAAATAATATAATAATAACCTATTATGTTTTAATAGATAAAAAACCGTTCAGATCGTAAAATATATGGAATTTCTCAAAATAAAAGTGATTATATATTGGTTTTTGAAGGTAAATATTGTGAATACTGTGAACTGCCTACTACATACAGTGAATGTGAACCGTGTCAGATGAATTATATTAAAAAGAATTTTACATACTGCATTGATAAAAATAAAAAAATTGGAAATTTAATCCGAGAAATGCATTTAAAAAATGATTATAGCGGTATAGTATTTGAATGGATACCATATGATCAATTCAATAATATTAAGGAAATGGACGAATGCGATTTTACTAGTAAAATTTATTCAGCAGTATGGAAGAATGGTCCATCATATTATATTGGTAAAAACAAATATGTAAGAAATTTAAATCAAAATAAAAGTATTACCTTAAAAAATTTATGTGATCCACAAAATAATATTGATGAAATTCTGAATGAGGTATGTAATTTACCACTAGATTTTATTATAAATGAATGAATTTAAACAATAATTTTTTTCAAAATTGATAGATTAAGAATTATTCAGATTGTGAAGTATATGGAATATCCCAAGATTCAGATACAAAAGATTATATTATGGTTCTCGAAGCTGGATATTGTGACAAATGTGGACTATATACATATGGTAGATGGTGTAAACTATGCCGAATAAATTATTTTAATAAAAATTTTACAGTTCATGCTGATGAAAATGAAAAAATTGACTATTTAATTAAAAAAATGCAATTAAAAAGTGATTATGATGGCATAGTATTCGAATGGATACCATATAGTCTGTTCAATAATATTGAAGAAATAATCAAATCTGACTTTACTGAAATCTATTCTGCAGTATGGAAGAAAGGACCATCATATTATGGAAATCAGATTAAATATATAAGGAATAAAAACAAGAATAAGAGAGTTACTTTTAAAAAAGTATATAATTTACAAGATATTGCTTTGAATGAGGTAAGAAATTACTTATAAATTAAATTTAAAATTTTTTAATATAGTAACTGAATATGGCAATTTTCATATTTAATAGGCTAAGGATTATTCAAATTGCAAATTATATGGAATATCTCAAGATCCAAGTACAAAAGAATATTTTATAATCTTTCAGGATGAATATTGTGAAAAATGTAGTAGAAAATATATAAATGTAAATATGAAGTTATGTCCAATATGTCAATACAGTGGAAATGAAGTGATTGACAAATTAATCCAAGATATGCAGTCAAAAATTAATTCTTATGATGATATAGTATTTGAATGGGTACCATACAATCAGTTTAGTAATATTAAAAAAGTAGGCGAGGGTGGCTTTGCTAAAGTATATTCAGCTATATGGACAAATGGTCCATTGTATTATAATAATAGTTATAATGAATATATAAGAACTCAGAATAAAAAAGTTGCTTTAAAATGCTTGCATAACTCACAAAATATCTCAAATAAATTTTTAAATGAGGTAAGAATTTTCTTTATTACAACTTAATTATTTCAGCTATTTATTAGTGATGATAATTTTTATTATTTGTAGGTTAAAGGATATTCAACTAAAAAATATGGTAGTTATATTAATAATAATGTCCTTAAAATATATGGAATTTCACAAAATCCAATTACAAAAGATTATATAATGATTCTTGATTATGCAGAAGGTGGAAATTTTGATCATTGGGCAAATAAAAATTACAAAAATTTTGATTGGTCATATAAATTAACAACTTTATGGAATATTATTAAAGGTCTTAAAGAAATTCATCAAAATCAGATGGTTCATCGCGATTTTCATACAGGAAATATATTATTAAATGCTATTTATGTTAATAGTTTAAATGATAATAGTGTATATATTTCAGATATGGGATTATGTGGAAAAGTTAATGATATTAATCAAAATAATATTTATGGAGTTATGCCTTATGTAGCTCCTGAAATATTAAAAGGAAAACTTTATACTCAAGCAGCAGATATATATAGCTTTGGTATGACTATGTATTTTGTAGGAACTGGAAAACAGCCATTTTCTGATTGTGCACATGATCAATATTTAGCAATAAATATATGCAACGGAGTTAGACCTGAAGTAAATGAACCAGAAATACCAAAATGTTATGGTGAATTAATGAAAAATTGTTGGGATTCAAATCCAGACAATAGACCAAAAATAGCTGAAATTCTTGAATTAATTGATCTATTTTTTTATTCATATAAGTATGATAAATTTGCTTTCAAAAGAATTGTGAAAGTTAAAAAAGAACAACAACATTATGAAATTGAAAAACAATTCAAAGAAGCAGAAAAATACAGAAAATCACATCTCACACCATTTGACGAAAGTAAACGATTAACTACTCATCCACAAGCTTTTTATACATCACGATTACTTAATCCATTTACAAAAGACCTTCCAAAAGATGATAATATTGGAAATAATTCAGTAGAAGTAATTGATTTTACAAAGTAAGTACTGTTTTAATTTTTGTTAACAATTCTATAATTGTATTATAAATTGAATAAATTTTTTGTATATTGTAGTGATGAATGAATGAGATTTAGAATGATATAAATGATATAGTAAAAATAAAGTTGAAATTAGCTACTAGTTATATTTCAATTTAACTAGATATATTACGTAATTTAACATTTTATTTATATTTATATTTTTATTTTTTCACTTATATTTATTTATTTATTGCTTAACACTGATTATAGAGTACTATATGTAACTTTGTTTTTACATAATAAAGTCAGTTCGTAATTGAGCGAGATAACTTCGAAATTTTTAATTGACTGGAATTTGGCTAAAATTTAGAAGTGAATTCTTTAAAAGTGGGTATATAATAAAAATAACAAATAAGGATTAATAATCTAACGTTCGAATCTTTAAATAATTTTCTAACAATAGTAATTATCCTTTCGTTTAAACATTTAAGATGAACCGACTTATTAGTTGAATTTGTGAAGCAATATTACGTAATATCAGTTTTATATATGCTCTTACTCACTCTATGTAAGATATAGTGAATTAAATAAATAAAGTATGAGTCTAACTTAATTTGAAGTTTCGATAAAATAATTGTTATTCAAAAGTATTAATCTTCATTATTTTGTCAAAATATCACTCATGTGTGATTTTTTTATTTATTCAACAGCTTCAATAATAGCTGTTACTTCAGACCAAAAGCAATTGTTTCTTTGTTGGTAGTGTTGTATCTTTACATTATTATATATATTGACCATAATTTTGCAATTCATTATTTTCGCTAATTTCAAGATATTTATTTTAATGCTTGAGTAATTCTATGTTGTATCTAGATTTTTTTCCCAAATAGAAAAATGTGTTCAGGTTAACGCAAAATTTTATAATATATATTTATTTATATATAAGTACAGAGCGAAAATAACATTTATAATAAAAGTTTACTTTTGAGATTTCTATACTCATTTTTGAAAAAGTCATCACTCCTCAATAATATTTTTAATTAATTTCATTATCGTTAATAATGAATTATTAGATGATTAAGCAATTATTCTATAAGTTTAGATTTATATAGTAATGCAGGCGAAACCCGGCTATACTAATTTTCGCTCCAGGTTCCTATTGGATCCAATGTGGAATTAGCTCTGATCCCATGTAATAACGGCAGAAGACATGGGTCCGGATGATTAAAATGATTACAAGTCAAAAAATTTCGGATGTTGATCAACCGGACTCGGTTCACCAGCCAACTAGGGACGTTGTAGGACTTGTGGCTCTTTTCATCATAAGAAAAAGGCAAAATAATCGACCAATTAAATGTTAAGTGTAAAAATATACTGTATTACTACTTAAATCGATGGGTTTTTATATTTCCTGATGTTTCTTTTTTTTTAGATCATATTATTAATTTTTTTTGAATTTTTTTTTCGGTCTTTTTGGACCGGATTATTATTGTCCTTTTTTTCAGAATTTTTTTCGGTACTTATTTTTTTTTAAAACCGATTTCTTTCTTTATCCTTTTCTTTTTCTTTACCCCAAATTTTTTTTTTTCTTTTTTCTTTCGTTTTGGCTTTTTTTCTTTCAAACCGAATTTTTTTTTTCCGAATACATTCTTTCACCATTTAGGTTTGGACCGGTGATCAGATCAATGTTATGGCGACATGACAATTGCCATTTTTCTGATTCTTACTATTAATAATAATAATATTTTTTGGGGGGAATTTTTTTTTTATGGGTCGTTATAATTAATTTTCTGTGGATTTTTTTTTCATATTAATTAGTGTGATATTTTTTTTTCTAGAGGATAAAAAAAAAAATTTTTTTCGTAACAATGTAATAACAAACTACTTATACAAAATTGTTTTTGTAAATATGTAACAACAAACTACTTATACAAAATTCTTTTTGTAAATAATTTGTAAATTTCACAGTATTGCTTTTAAAGTTTAAAAAAAAACTCCCTAATTTCTTGAGTCTTGACAATAAATCATGAATTTTATGGAATAACTCAAGATTCGGAAACCAAGAATTATACGATGATTTTAAATGATATGTGACAAATGTAAAATATGCATGTAGTACAATACATTTTCAGCAAACCTTAAAAAATTGGACTAGTGGCAACAATGTTATTGATAAATTCGTTCAGTTATCAACACATGGAGTATTTAATTCTTAAGAAAACATTAGAATGGATACCTTATAAAGGATTTTATGATATTAATGAATATACTAAAAAAAATGAATTTGGTAAAGTATATAGAGCAAAATGGATAGATATATGATCATAAACATCAAAATTGGAAAAGAGAAGGCCAAAATAATTCTTAAAAGTATGAATAATCCAGCAGACGTTATATCAAAATAAGGTAATTAATTTATTGGTTAATAATGTTTTTAATAATTTTTCACTAATTTAATCTAAAGGAAAAAATTAACACAAAATACAATAATGAATATCAATAATATCACGTTTTAAAATGAGTTATAACTGTTATGTATGAACTTATTTAAATTTTAATAGCACCAATAATTATAATTATTGCTAATATAATTCTACCCTAATACACTTTTAATTCCAATCAAAATACCGACAACAATAATTATCATCAAATTTTTTTACTTCAACACAATCATTGATTATATCAACTTTATGAATTTCTTTAAAATATAAAATATAATAAACAGATATTGATGTTTGATGTTTGTCCTTCCATCTCTTAAAGAAAGTTTTCAAACTTTTCATTTTAATTTTAAAATTATCCAATTTTAAAGAATTTAAGCTTGAAGGTGCATTTATTACTAATATACAGTATCTAATAATTTATCATAAGAATCATTATAATAATCTTCACATACTATAACTAATCTTTCTAATTGAGAACATGTTGAGAATAATTTTTCTAATTCCCTGATAACCAAATGATCATCTTGATAAAACAAAGCAACTGATTTTAGATTTGGACAATATTGAGTAATGGACTGAATAAACATTAACCCATTTTTTTTCATGAAAATCATGTTTAATTCTAATTTCTCGTAAACTTCCTTTTGTTGATTTAATAAATATTGCTGCTTCATAAATATAACCACCATATAATTCAAGATACTCAAGATTTGGTAAATTTGGCTTCATTAAACTTTTATCCACAATTTTTCCATTAATTTTTAAAGTTTTTAAGTTAACAAATTTGGTAAATATTGGACAACAAAATTTAATTGGGCAACTTAAATGAATTAAAAGAATGGAATCTGCTTGCTTTGTTAAAGCTTCTCCAATCCCTTTACATGAAATTTCATATGAAGCTTTGAAACCACATTTGAAATATTTTAAATTCTTTTGTGCTTTAATTAAAGTAATTAATCCAGGATTATTATCATAATTACAATATTTTATATTTAAATATCTGATAATCTGATATTATGACAAATTTGTGCCAACTTATCAAGTTTAACAAAAGTATAACATTTTAATGTAGTAACGTTTAAAAAACACTTGCGTAATTCTGGAATATTACAAAGTTCTTGATCAACATAATCACTAAATATTATAAGTTTTTTAATATTAGGAGAATAATTAAAAATCATTTTAAATAATTCCCGTATGAATTTATTCTTATCATGCGTATTTTGTGCAATAGCCACAATACTAGTATTTTTTAAAGTTTTAAGATAACTAATATATTTGAATAAAGGTTTATGAGTATTGATATCCTTATTTATTAAATGAAGTTTAATTTCGGGTGGTAAAAATGAGGTTATAGTTCTATGTAAAGATATTATTCTTAAGAAACTTCCAAGGATTTTTCCAAAGAACTGGTACAACCGTTTCACACCAAAGTTTATTTATCAAAAGACAGGAATATAATGATTTGACATCATATTCTAATTCTTCAAAAATAATTATAAGACAATCTTGTGAGAGTTTTGACATTTTTTTTTTAATATTTAAAAAAATTTGGATTTTGTTTTTTTAAGGCGAACTTTTAATATTTATACTTGGCACTTTGTGTTGAGTAACTGTTTTATCAGGACATAATCTGTATAAGACAAATTTATTGCTTTGTAAAATTTAATTAATTAATTTGGGTCATAAGATATTGATAATATATAGTAAGGGAAAATATAATCATATATTAATATTAAACTTTACACAATTATGACTAATATTTTTTAATGGTTGCATCATGCATATGATGATACCTAGATCATAATTACTAAATATAATTGATTTTGTTTATAATTTCTGGGTGAATTTTTAATTCTTCATAAATATAATAATTTTCTGGCTCAATTTTATTTTATCTTTCAATGATCAATTGATATAATTATCACTAACATAGTTATAGGAAATTGGCAAATTTACTATAAAATAAAATTTAATATATTTGGTAATATGATTAGCAGAGGAAAATGTTTTCAAATCATGTCGAATATCAATATCATCCTACATATATCTGATATGGTGTCTAAAAATTATCCAAGTATCCAACATGAGGTCCAGACATCAGCCGGCATAATATCCAGACACCTGAAGACGGCTTCTGATCAGCCAATTGACCTTTGTTTTTATACCGATTTTTCTGCGCAATGTTTAACTCGCTATATCTGAGCGAATAAAACGTAGTGAATAGAATATTAGCGATGTAGAGCAGCGCATAAATGGGAAAAATACACTACATACAGGATATTAATCTTTGGCCAATATACGCAAGTGTTTTTAACACATTATATAAATTCAATATTTTGAATTTAAATAATTATAATCTATTCAATAACGCCATTTGGTAAATGATGTTGCAAAATATAAACCTATACAATAATCAAAGATATGATTCAACAATAACAATACCATTTAAAGAATTTGCGCCATTAACGACGTTAATTTCCCTCATATTATGGATGTAAATCCACCAAAAGAAGGTACACTCTATCTCGAAGTAGGTATCATATTTAAAAGTTTATTTCAAATATGCAAAAAAGTCTTACTGTACATAGATTATAGTGCTTTTTGATTACAGTATTATCAACGTGTAATTACTTAGCATAAGAACCAACCATGGCAAATTATTATGTATATTAAATGATTGAGGTAAATTATTAAGACAAAATATTATTAAACACAGCTTATTTCCAATATCAACACAAAAATTGAATTAATAAAAAGAAATATGGAAGCGTAGCAAAGGACTGTACAGTAGAGTCCATATCAAAGTTCTTTCACGCCGCGTGAATGACCAATCAATTTTTAAGATCATGTGTAACATGTTGAACACAGTGAGTATCATGTGATTATAACGCTACGCATCACAACGGTAGTAATAATAACAAAGCGATATGAAACGTCAGAATTATAGATCGTGACATCATGACTTGTTGTTCTATTATCGGTAATGGTAGTTTGATTTTTGTAAATACTCCTCATAGAGATTAATTATGTCTAATCATAGCGTTAGTAGATGAATAAAGAACACTTTAAATTTACGAATTATTTTTTAGCAAAATGATTATACATTTCTAATTATATAGCCACGTTTATTAGTACATTTTCGAATTAAAGTGATTAATTGATTATAAAATCAATACCAGGCCCTGTTACTTCTGAGAATATTTTTTAAATTGATTTTATGGAATTGTTTTATACAGCTTTTGATATATCAATCAATTTAAAATTCAAACTCTGCGATCAATGAAATATTTAATTAAACCGAATACTAACCATAATATATATGTATAGATAACCATTTTATAAATTGCATTTAATAAAAAAATTATTATATTAACAAATTTTTATGTAATTTGATTTTAATTATCAATTTCAATAATGGTTCATTATTTATAAAGTAAATCATTAAAAAGTTTTTTATATGAACCAGCAGTAACCAGTTTTTGTAAGAATTCTTGGGATGAAGTTAAAGAATCTAATTAACAGCAAACAACCAAGTATTTTGTGCAGTTCCCCATTTTATTACATGTATCCAAATTTCAATTTCTCTCATTTGTAAATCGTCTATTTTAATAACTAGAACTAGAGATTTTTTAGTAAAATCAAATGATTTAAAGGTGATTTCAGTTAGTAATAAAATCAGTACAAAATTGTCGAAGTCTTAATGAGTTTATCAGATTTTAAACTAATTTATTAAATATATCCAAGATTTTCTTACTTTATCTGCAACAGCAAAAACTTTCACTTGAAGTATCCTGTACATCCAACGAAAGAATACCGCCATAAATATACCTATTACAAAAACCCAAGTTAACAAATGATTTTTACGTTAGATTCTTCACCAACTTTAGTTATAATATCATAAAATTCAATTGTTCATCATTTTCCAATAATTCCTTATTAATTTGTAAAAATTGAATTGATATTTTAATAATTACGATATTTGAAACAAAAAAAATAATGTATTTTTGAATTAGGAGAGAAAAAAAATTAAAAATAGTTATTATTTAAAATGGAAATTACTTGACATAAACGCGAAGAGAAAAATAATTATCTCGTATTGACAATGCGCTTCAAAGAATTAAAGATTACTATCATATTATTTAAATTTATGAATTTTGTTTGACAGAACTTATGATAAAATTATGAATTCCTAAGAAATACAAAAGAAGAAATTCATTCATATTTAATGTTTCTAATAATAAATGTTATCACGAAGTATTTATGGTGTAATTATTTTCAAAAATTTTATAATATTAAAATGAATACTGCTCCCCTGTACGTAAATTTTAACAAGGTTTGTCTATACAAAGAGTTATCAACTGAATTTTGTTTCATATTAAACATTTGACAAAATAGTAAATTTTCATACTGAGATATTGTTAGCAAAATATGAAAACTCTAAACTTGATATATTTAAAAAAACAAGCTGATACTAGTCTGATACTACTTTTTTGTATAAAAGCTTTTAAAAAATTCACTTTTTTTTGTAACATAGGATGATAATATTTTTTTTTGAGTATATCTTTACTGAGTCCGGTCCGATGATCTTTCTGAGTCCAGTCATGTAAATTTTTAGCACAGTCATGTGAATTTTGATGCAAACCGAATTTAAACTTTGATTGGACTTCGCTAACATCGGACTGAATTAACTGTGCTGAGTCCTGTGATTTTGATCAATCAGATCGAACAAATTTACATGACCGATCTACATTTTATTTTTTCTCTTGTATTTAATAATTATTAGTTTAGATTTAAATAAGCATTTTTTATACAATAAAATGATTAAAAACTTTAACAAAATTAATTGCATCTTAATTTATTGAAGCAAGAGGTCCTAGCAATTTATACTATATCATTACTAAAACTATTATCTCATTAAATATTTAATAGTAAAAAAATTTTTTTATAATAACTTTCATTATAAAGCGAACAGTAAAAAAAAAAAGTCGTGCTCTATAATCAATCGGACCCAAGTAATTTTAAGTGAATCACTGGACCGCAAGGTCCAATGATCCGGACCCAAATTCACATGACTGTGCTAAAAATTAACATGATTGGACTCAGGAAGATCATCGGACTGGACACCGTAAGGCATAACCTTTTTTTAAAAAAATTCCGAAGGAATTCAAATATGGTAATTACTTAAAAAAATATTGTTGAATATCTTTGTATCGAATAGTTCATTGTAAGCCACCATTGCCGTATTACCCATTATGAGGTGGAAAAAGTTTCGTCAATCGAATCGAATATATTATATATATGAATATGATAATTAATGGCAGTGAAAATATTGGATCGTAAAAGATAAGGAATTTAAAATTGTTTATTTCATTATGATGTAGCTTGCTACAAAATTTGGTGACAGATACAGTAAATTCGCGGCCAGCCGTAAGATCTTGATTACTCGTTTAATCTTTCAAGTAATAATAGGTTAATAAAAAAAAAAGACAAATATATCCAATGTTAGCTGCGACTTGCAATTTTAATTTGTATTAATTTTTTACCAAAATAGTTGTCTATGATACCTGTGAAATATAAATGTTTCATATTATGAAGTTTATTAGATAGAAAGGATACAGCCAACATGATATTTATAACTTGATCAAACGACCGAAAATTATAAATAGGCTTTATTAATATAAAAAATAAAGTTTACAAATAATCTGTAATCGATATTGAACAATAGTAATATATAAAATTATAAAATAAATAAAAAATATTTGATAAAATTATTAAATGTTTAATGAATTATAAAATATATAATAGTAATTCACGGTGAACTGAACTGTTGCACAGTGAAAATCTTAGTATTCTACAATCCACACGACCTTAAAATAACTAACTTGTATCACAGTTCCGACCATAAAACTTCTTAATATATCTTTTAACTAATACAATTTTATTCTAATACTGATAAACTTTTATCCAATATTGAGAGGCTTCCTTAAATAACGTCATTCACGAGTTATATCAAAATCATATTTTAATCTTTCTTGCTTCTTTAATTATAAACTACAAAAGAAAAATATAATTAATTTATATAATCATATATTGTTAAACAAATAATTTAATTGTACTCATTGTACTCACTTTGTAAAGTCAATCACTTCTACTGAATTATTATTAATATTATCATTTTTTGGGAGATCTTTTGTAAATTGATTAAGTAATCGTGATGTATAAAAAGCTTGTGGATGAATAGTTGATCGTTCATTTTCATTATATAATATGAGACGTGATTTTCTGTATTCTTCTGCTGCTTTGAATTGTTTTTCAATTTCAGAAAGTCGTACTTTTTTAAAGTCTAATGCATCATTAACAACATTTTTATATGAGCCAATAAAAAAATCAATAAATTCTAAAACTTTAGTTGCTATTGGTCGATTATTTGGATTTGAATCCCAGCACTGTTTCATTAAATCAATATAGCATTTTGGTGCTTCCGGTACATTAATTTCAGGTCTATTTCCATTACAAATATTTAATACTAAAACCTCATCATGCGCATAATTGACAAAGGGTTGTTTTCCAGTGGCTACAAAATACATAATCATGCCAAAACTATATATATCTGCTGCTCGAGTATAAGGTTTTCCTTTTAATACTTCAGGAGCTACATAAGGCATAACTCCATAAATACTATTTTGATCAATATTATTGACATATCCACATAATCCCATATCTGAAATGTTTTATAATATCATTGAATAAAAGTATATCTTTCAAATGGGATTTATTTAACAGTATATTTCCTGTATGAAAATCACGATGAACCATCTTATTTTGATGAATCTCTTCAAGTCCAATAATAATGTTAGATAATACATCCAACTTATTTGACCAATTTAAATTTTTATAATTTTTTTTCATCCAACAATTAAAATCTCCACCTTTTGCATACTTAAGTACCATAATGTATTCCTTTGTATCTGGATTTTGAGATATTCCATACGTATGAAGTCTTTTATTTCGGAAATTATAAATATCCAATTCAACTGAATACGCTTTGACCTATCAAAATATAAAAGATCGTTATTACATGTACATTAATTTATATAAAAATTTACAGAAAAATCTCGTACCTCATTCAGAAATTCATTTGAAATATTTTGAGAGTTATTTAAACATTTCAAAGCAATTGTTATAGAGCATCTTATGTATTCACATCTACTAATATCATACATTAATCGACCATTAATCCATGTTGCTGAATATATTTTAGAAAAGCCACCTTTACCTATTTCTTTAATATTACAAAACTGATCATATGGTATCCATTCAAATACGATATCTTCATATGAACTAATCTTTGATTGCATTTCCTGAATTAAATTATCAATATTTTCATTTCCACTACTCCAGTTTGTAAAATTTTTTTCTAGATTATTTATTTGACATGGTTTGCACCATTTATAACGTTTATATTCAAATTCTTTACCACATTTATCACAATGATATCCATCTGGAAAAACTATAACATAATTTTTTGTATGAGGATATTGAGATAATCCATATATAATTTCGTCATACTTGTTATCAAATAAATATGTAACCTATTAAATAAAAAATATTACTTCATTATATTTATAACATTTAAATTAAATAGAGAAAATTCATACCTTATTTAAAACATTATTGATATTATTTCGTGAATTATATAATTTTAAATTGACTTTTATATTCTTATTTCTTGAATATACATATTCTTTATAATCGTATTGTAATGGACCATCCTTCCATATTGCTGAATATACGGTAGTAAATTCATCTTTTCCTAACTCTTTAATATCATTAAACTGATCATATGGTATCCATTTAAATACTACTCTATGGGGATCAATTTTTGATTGCATTTTCCGAATAAAATTATTAATTTTTTTATTTCCACTGGTCCAGAATTTAAAATTTTTTTTTAAACCAATTATTTGACATGATATACATTCATTAAATCTACCTGAACCTGTATAAAGTTTACAACACCGACTACAATATATATTTTGAAGAATTAGAATATAATCTCTCGTATTTGTATTTTGAGATATTCCATATATTTGATTATTATTAAAATATGTTTTGACCTATTAAAAGAAAAAATTACTCATTATATTTTTAATATTTAAATTAAACTAGGGTAATTAAGTACAAGTTAGTGAGCTTTTAAGCATTATAATTTATTTACTAACTATCCCTTAAATTGTGAGGGTTAAAATTAATTTTAATAATCTTTGAAGTTTTAAGAGTTCACATTATTACATATTAAATTATTAGCAATTTGATAATAAATATGGTGAGAATCCATTATTTTTGATTAGTAATTTGATAACAAATAATGGGTATGCACAATGGTTTAATAAAGAAATGGCATGACCCATTTCTTGTTAAGTGATTAGATAATAAAAAACAGGTTCGCACCATTTAATTATTAAATCAATTAAAAACTGTGCAAACCTGTTATTTAT